CCACCGACACGCACGATGCACCTCAAGTAAGACCAGCACCGTCCCAACGGTTGAAGTAGAGAAAAGGATGGAAGAAGTGGGACCGATAGCAGCACAACCGGCTCCCATCTCATTGAGTTGGCCTTCCCCCCAACACCCGAGATCCTTTCAGCTCCAAGACTAAAGGACTTAAAGACGCCCGCCCTGGAGACTTATGATGGAAACTCCGATCCAAACGACCATGTGGACAGTTCCCAATCCTTGATGCTACTCGCTGGGGCAAACAAAGCCAGCCTCTGCATGGCCGTCTCCATGACCTTCAGAGAGACAACAAGGTCGTGGTACAAAAACTTACCTCTGAGTTCAACCAAAAGTTGGAAGCAGTTCGTGGACTTGTTTACAACCCACTTCATCACAAGTAAGAAGTGCCCAAAGTCCGTGACGTGCCTTCTAAACGTGGTCCAGTGGGAGAATGAGTCCTTGAGGGACTATATCAAGAGGTTCAACTCATAGAAACTACAGGTACCGAACCTCGATCGCGCTGTGTAGCTCACTACAGCCCAAAAGGGAGTCCGCCAACCAGATTTAAGGTGGCAACTCGAGTTGAACCCTCCTACTTCCATGGAGGCGTTCCTTGCTGAAACCGATAAATTTATCAGGCAGAAGAGGCTCTCGAGTCTCGATTAGAGCTTCTCTAGGCCGGGAAGAAGAAGAGGAATGATGAAGATGGAATCAACAGTAAGCAGAAACGATGAAAGAGCAACTCACCGCGTAGTAGGTGAAGCAAGTCGTTAAGAAAAAGTTGGTCACCACCTCAGGGTTCTAGGTCAGGTCGGCGATCTAGAACCCCTCCAATTCAAAAATCCAATTACACCACCTTGAATGCCAAGTGAGGCGAGATTCTGATGTCCATCAAAGACACTGGCTATGTCAAGTGGCCGCCTACGATGAGAGGAGACCCCGCAAACCGAAACCCAAAACTGGTACTGTCATTTCCACCGGGACATCAAGCATGATATAAAAAGTTGCCGCAACTTGAATGACGAGATCGAGGAGCTGATTCGCCATGGTTACCTGAGAAAGTTCATAAAGTATGAAGACAGAGAGCTGAGCAACCAACGTCTGAGTTGCCCTCCAACTAAGAGCATCTAGATCGTGCACAATCAACCCCTATCCCATCAATCTGCCAATATATATGTCATTTATTTATTTAAATATATATAACACACATATATATATATATATATGTTATTTATTTATTTATAAATATATTATTTATATTGAATTTTTGTAAATTTGTTATATATATTATTTATTTATTTGTATAAAAACATGTATATAAACGATGAAAATAGTTGAAATATACTTGCATTTTTTGTTTTGCTTTAGTTAAATTGTTATATTTATTTTTATGTTAATAAAATATTATTTTTTGAAAAAAAAATCAGATTAGATCAAATCCCAAATATCCAATGTCTTGCCTCTAGGTGATACATTTATTTGATCATCATTTAGGTCAAACATGTCAATTACATGTATACATATAAGTTTTATTTTTGTTTAGTTTATATTTATATTTTAATTTGAATTGTTTATTTAGACAAAAATTCTAAATATTAGGATCTAATTTTAATTTAGTGTGTAATTTGTGACCCAAGGACCATGATTTAATTAATTTGGTTACTAATATCGGTTCATTGATGTAGCATGGTCTAACCTATTTGACCTAAGGTCTCATTACTACTTAAGTTTGTTATCATAGTTGAATTCCAAAATTATAAATAAAAGGTTCAAACAAAAAATAATTGAGTTTTCTTCCCATTTTTTCATTTTTCTATATTTATAACATCTCAATCATTATATTTAAATATTTAATATAATTTTTTACATTTTTCTTCAATTTTTTATATTTTATTATCTTATTTAATAATTTTTTCTGTATATTATTATTTTAATTGTGATGCCATAATTTGACCCTATTTTGATTAATTAATTACTTGGTTGTCCAATGACTCATTAAGATTTTTGTTATCTATTCCATTTGTTGATGTATTAAATATGTTTATAACTACAATTTTCAATGATTGTTGCGAAAGATTCAATCGCATTGAATGGAATTCACAACATTCGATTCACATTAGTTTCTGATTTAGTAACAGTTGGATATTCAATAAGCAAACGGTGGTAAGCTTTGTTTCTAATTTATTGCTTTAGCAACATTTATATATAAAATGAGCAACAATTAGGTTGCCTTTGTTGTCAATTCATTTGATTTAGCAACAACGTTGATCAATTGTTGTTAATATTTATTTTTGGCAACAACTCTTGCAATTGTAATGAAGTGCCTGTTGCCAAAGGTCAATTTTCTTGCAGTGATGAGAATATTAATTTAGTTGAAATTATAAGTGTTCATGAGTTGGTTTGGTTTGGTCGTAGGTTGTTTGTCCAACAAAATTGACCTGGTCAGGTTGGGGAGTTGGTCAGCTGAAATCGCCTGACTATTTGTGAAAATCGACCCACTTGAGTTATACCGATTTGGGTCGTTTTTTGTTTGGTCAGTCGATTTAAAAGATTTAAACTTAAAAATTAAATTTAAATTTTAAAAATTATAGTGCAATTATTAAAAAATAAATTTATGATATAAAACATTTTAGACTATGAAACATAGGAAATTTCCCACTTTTCCATATTAAAAATTATATTTAAAATATAAAATATTAATATATATCAATGATTATGTCATTCTATTTTGGTCATTTTACAAATGGCCAAAGTGAAACTGATCCAACTTGGTCGAGTTGGGAAATTTTTGAACCAAAACCAACCTAAAATACTAGAAAACTGACCAACTCGAGTCAAGTTGGTCGGGTTGGTCGGTTTCATCAATTTGATGAATAAACCTAACTGAAATTAATTATTATTATTTTTGTATTATAAAAATATTATTAAAAGTATAATATAAAATATTAATAATTATTTAAAAAGTTGAAAATATAAAATAATTGCATACTCTTATGTATTTCTATTAGGGTCATTTACTAGAACACAACTTATAGTTTTACATATTTACTTAAACTTACCTTATAATTTTTATTTTACTAAAATATCCCATATATTTTATAACTTATGTACTTAATCAACGTTTCATTAAGGAGTGTTTGTTTTGCCATTAGGCCCATGATTTTTTATTCCAAAAATACCCTTAACACTTTTTTATACAAAAAACAAAATTGATCAACTATTGCCAATAAAGTGGTTGTTCGTGTCTTATTAGGGGAAAAAGTGGCCTTTTGGTTAAATTTATTTAAATGAACATTAAGGTTAACATTGTCATTTTCCATTATCATCTAATAGAAGATTGATTAAATCCATTGCAAATTATAAGTGGTGTTTTAATAAAATACAAACTATATGATAGATTTTAGTAAATCCATAAAATTATAGGGGTATTTTAGTAAATGACTCTTTTTATTATTTAGCTTTCACTTAACAAATCTTATGCATCGTACAAGTCGTCGCTATTAAGCCATTTACAACAAGGCACTCAACCTGATCCAAGTACATTCCACATGAAAATAGTTCCAATTGTAGCGTGGTTACATAACTAGGAATTCCCCACCTGATGATGCACTTAGCTTCAAGTGGTGATGTTGATGTATGGGAAGCTACACTTAGGCCTTTTCGAGCTTTCCCAAGATAGAAAAGGTGAAAGCATAAGCATTTTTACTAAAGATGATGAAAAGTTAAAGCAAATTCTTTATTACTAAATAAAAGATATCAACTTAATGTCCTCTAATGACCCACATTGGAGCAACTAGGGAGGAAAGGGAGTTGTTAGGTTAAAGATCTAAGAGGGTTATCAATTGGGTCTGAGAGTGTATATAGGTTTTGTGTGTGGAGGGGGGAAGGGGGGAGGGGGCAATAAGATTTAACTAAAATGGAATATTTTTGGATTAGTGGGTAAACATGGGGATTTTTGGTTGAAATTTGGCAAGGGTGGGGTTTATGGACATTATGAATTGATTAGTGGGGTAACATTGGCCTATGTAGGCCCATATTATGTAAATTTGAAAGGGGTTTGATTTGGTTAACCTGAAGCTTCGAAACGAAATATTTGTGTGATTAAAGGGTAAACAAAGGTAGTTTTGGGTGAAATTTCATAAGTAGGGGTTTTAGGAATCTGAGATCTGGTGGTGATCTCTGATTGATTCTGGAGGGTCAAGATCATAGAAAATTGGGTAAACAAGAGGATTCAAAATGGAATCTCAGTTTGATGAATGGGCAAATAGAGGAATCTTGGGTTGAAACTTTATGGGTAGATGTTTTGGTATGTCTGGAGTTCAATGGCGTGATCTGATTAGTTCAGATGTGTTTGGATAAAAGGGGATATGAGTTACTGGTCTTTAAACTAACAAGAGGGCTCAAAAGGGAATATTAGTTTGATGAAAGGCCAAGTGGGGGAATCCTGGGTTGAAATTTAATGGGTAGGTGTTTTAGTATGTTTAGGGCTTAATGGTGATGTATGATGTAAGAGTCAAGGTGTAAATGAGGGATGATTGTGACCATCAGATTAGTATCAAGTAGATTTAATGATGAATCTAGGGCTTTTGGGCTAAAATTCGGGTTCTTGAGGTTTTTGGGTGTTTCAAAGAGGTCAAGATGGTCTGATTGGGCTTTAAGGGTGAATTAGGGGTTTATGCAGCGGACCGAATAAAAATTAGGTATTGACAATGGATGTTTTAGGAATTGTGACTTATCTTAAATTTTGGCCTGGTTGTCTAGACTCCGATATACGGGTCCAGGTTAAGTGATGGGTTACACAAGCAGCCCAATTCAACCTTCCTAAGCCTTAACTCAACCCTGGTCATCCCGTCTTTACTGGTCCAGGTCCAGCCTGTGGTCCGCAATTTTAGCCCACTGTACAAAAGCACAAGTTGGGCCGGACTGAATTTGGGTTGGGCCAGCCGAGTTGCAAGAATGGGACCCATGAGATGGAACACCGAGTCTCGCCGCTGGCTATTGGTTCAACTACACCACATCTTTCCCGAGTTCTCCCTCCGGTCCTCCGCTACAAAATCAAACACCTTAATCGCTCTCTTCTTCCAGAAGGATCGTAAGATCGAGTGATTGATTCTGCTGCAGCAGCAGCTTTCATTGCGTGTTACAAGAACCGAAACGGCTTTCATCCTTTGTCTTTCTGACTGTCTCTCTTTCTAGGGTTTTTTTTCGTAGCAATGGCCAAAGAAGGACCGAATTGGGAAGGCTTGCTGAAGTGGAGTCTCGCACACTCCGATGGAACTCGCCCCACTCGCAATTTGAGGTCTCTCTCCTTCTCTCAAAAATTGGAATTAATTTGTAGATAGGAGAGTTTTTTTCCCCAATTTTAGTTGGGTTGGCGTTGTTTCATAGTCATAGTTGAAGCTTATTCGATTTTCTCAGAGCTAAAATGCAGATTGCTTACTGTAAGAGTTTTTCTCTTAGGCTCAGTTTCGAAAGAGTACAAATGCAAATATGTACAGTGCAAATACATATAAAATAATACAAAATATAAGGTTTTGCACTCTACATATTTGCATTTGTACTCCTTCCAAACTGAGACTTAGGAACGCATTGCAAGTCCTTGCTACAATAGAACTCTGAAGAATAAACCGATTGCATTATAAACTTTCGCTTCTTTTTCTTCCTTATATCTTATTTTCCCTTATTTTGTTTGGACTGTTAAATACTATGCGTGCCCACAATGATATTAGTCAATGGGAGATATCTGCTTTTGGACTTGTCTCATAAGCATAGCTGTAATTACTTTCATCATAGTGGTCATACCTATTAACCCGTAAGAGGACCTATTTGATAATCACCTAATAAGCCTTACTTGTTTGCCAGCGAGGAAGACCGAAAATGGTTCATGGAAGCTATGCAGTCACAGACCATAGATGTTATTAAACGAATGAAAGAGATAACTCTTGTTATGCAAACTCCCGAGCAAGTCTTGGAGTCTCAAGGTGTTACTGCAGCAGACATAGAAGGTGCTACATTTGATATTCCATATTACTGAACTTCCACTGCTATTCACATTTGTTGTTGTTGTTGCTATTTAGCACTTTTTACTCACCACTCGTTTTACAACTTGGCAGATATGTTAGATGAACTGCAAGAGCATGTTGAATCCATTGACATGGCTAATGGTACTTTTGCTGCACTCGTCTCATTTATCTTTTTATTTTTTCTCTCTTTCCAATGTTGGATTTGTGAAATGGAGGATGGATGTGTGTTCTATTTCTTTCTTTTTCTGTCTTAATTAACCTTTTAGCAGAAATCCCCTGTGACACAAACAGATAATAAGTCAGATAAAACACACGGAGTGTCAACTATGTTTCCATGATAAGTCATAAACATTGTAAACATGATTGTTTTTTTTTTTTTGAAAAGGTAAGGTAATTTTATTCTAACAGAAAAGAGAAGATACAACAAAACCCAGGCCTCAAAGACAGCCTGAGAACAACACAAATTACAGACTCCACCAAGACTGAAACTGAAACAAGGGGGACAAGTTCAGATGTCTAAACTCCTCAGTAACAGACACCCAAGAGAACAGCTTGCCCACAGCTCTCTGAACTAAATCTTCAGGACTTTTACTTCTATTACAAAAGGTTCTATTGTTCCTTTCGGTCTAAATGGACCACAAGACAGCTGCAGGGATAGTCTTCCACACCAACTTTCCTTTCTTGCTTAAGCCTTTAACTTCCCAGCAGCATAGCAGCTCCTTGACCGACCTTGGCATAACCCAGCTGATGTCCGTAGATTTTAGGAAATGTTCCCACACCAGAGAGGAAACCGAACAGTGGAGATAGAGGTGATCTATAGATTCTGGGAGGGAACCACACAATCCACAAGAGGAGTCCAAATTTGGATACCACACCTCTCAAGATTAGATCTGGAGAGGCATTTGTCCAGGGCCATTGTCCACACCAGAAAGTTGGATTTTGAAGGATTTATTGGATTCCAAATCTTAATTGCAGGGAAGCCTGTGGCACCTGAGCTGCACAATTTGGAAGCTAAAGATTTGACAGAAAAGCATTCATCAGAGCTCCACTTCGAGCACCATTTGTCTTCCAAAGATAAATCTATCTTCTGATTCTGTAAATTCTCCAGAAGTTCCATAATTTCTTCCAGCTCCCAGCCAAATAAGTTCCTCCTAAAGAGGGGGGGGGGGTCCAAGAAATAGAATCTCCAGAAAAACTATAGTTCTCAGCCATTGAAGAATCTTGGTTAGTAGCACACTGGAATAGGAGGGGAAAGGCATCAGCCAAATGACCCTCCAAGCACCAAGAATCCTTCCAAAATTTAATTCTATCCCCTTTGCCCACCTTGAATGAAACCCCTTTCCAAAGGGAGCTGCCCCAGTTAGGAGGAGGATCCCTAGATCTCCAGTTACCTCACTCCACCAGTCCACCCCATATTTTGCAGCCAAAAGGGTTCTCCACCAAGCATTCCTTTCAGAGGCAAATCTCCAGATCCACTTACTGAGAAGGGCTGAATTAAAACTCTTCAGATTCCTTATTCCCAACCCACCTTCTTCTTTTGGGAGGCATACTTGATCCCATTTAACTAGGTGTATTTTCTTTTCATCTTCCCAACCTTTCCAAAGGAAGTTCCTCTGTAGTTGCTCCAATCTTTTTGCTATTTTGTTTGGGATAGGGAAAAGTGAAAGGAAATAGGTGGGAAGATTGAAAAGGGTACTTTTTATTAGAATTACTCTGCCCCCAAAAGAAAGGTATTTTGCTTTCTAGGAAGCTAGTTTTTTCTCCATTCTTCCAATGACTGGATCCCAAACTGAAGAAGACCGTTTTGCCCCCAATGGAAGTCCCAAATACTTCATAGGAAGGAACTCAGTCTGACAAGCCATCACCTCAGCACAATCTTCTAAAATTGAAATTTGACCAACTGGACTAATCTAACTTTTGTTCAAGTTAACTCTAAGCCCAGGAACCACCTCAAACCATGGTAAGATCCCAAGTAATAATTCCAACTAGACTGGAGAATATTGACCTTTTCCCTCTCAGGAGAAATTGCAAAGCCTTCCCAACAACCAGAATCTGTTGCCTTCTTGCAAAAAAGGGAAAGGATTTCCATAATACAAATAAAAAATAAAAAGTAAGGGAGATAGGGGATCACCTTGTCTCATCCCCTTGAATTGTCAAAAAACCCTGCAGATTGTCCATTTATCAAGACTGAGAATTTAGGAGAGGTTATGATGTGGATGCCTTTATTGGGAAGACATATCACCGCCGGCAGCAGCAGTAAAGGGAGCAAGATTTGCTGATTCTCATCTTATTTAATTCTAGCTAGATACAGTTCTTATCTTATCAGTTCAGTAGGATAGATTAAGGGAGCCTTATCTTATCTTATCAGTTCAGTAGGATAGATTAAGGGAGTCTTATCTTATCTTATCAGTTCAGTCTTATCTTATCTTATTAGTTCAGTAGGATAGATTAAGGGAGTCTTATCTTATCTTATCAGTTCAGTAGGATAGATTAGTAAGGAGTCTTCCTAATTAGCAAGGAGTCTTCCTAAAAGTAGGACTCTTATCTCTTGTAATCTCCTATTTAAGGAGCTGATATTATTCAATAAAGGCATCGGAAATTTCAGTCAAGAAAGAGAGCAAAGGAGAGTTGGTGATCTCTTGAACAAATCACCTTAGGGGCGGCAAGATAGGTTCTTCAAGAAAAGGGAGGAACAAGGGAAAACAGGAGGTTTTCCCCATGGACCGACCCGTGACGAGATCCTTTTCGCGGGCCCATAACAGGTAATTCATACAAAATCAAGATGTAAGCCTTTTCAATATCTAATTGACAGACCTATCCAGGGACTCCCTTTCTTCTTCTTGAATCAATAAGTTCATTAGCAATAAGAACTGAGTCAAGCATTTGCTTTCTTGGAACAAAAGCACTTTGATTGTTCGAGATTACACTACCTAAAATCCCTTTCATTCTCTCAGCTAATACTTTAGCCAAGATTTTGTAGAAGCTGTGAAGGAGACTAATTGGCCTGAAATCTTTAATATTCACTGCCCCTTCAATTTTTGGGATAAGGGTAATAAAGGTAGCATTAAGACTTCTTTGTAGGGAAGCATTTGAATGGAAAGCCTGGAAGGCATTCATCAAGTCTTGTTTCACTATTTCCCAGCACTTAACATAGAAAAGGTTTGTGAGCCCATCTGGTCCTGGGGATTTATCATCTTCTAACTTGCTGATTGCAACCTTAGTTTCCTCCTCCGTAAAGGGTCTCTCAAGTGAAAGTTTCTGGTTTTCACTCAACTGCTTGAAAGGAAGGTTCATAGGAAGAGGTCTAAAGGTCCAATTTTCCCTATAAAGGTTCTTATAAAAGGCAGTTGCCACCCCCTTAATTTCTGGAGCTGATTTCCCAATTCTTCCCTCCCATTTCAACTTGCTGATTGAGGAAACTCTAGCCTGGGCATTTGCCATTTTATGAAAGAAACGAGTGTTCTTGTCACCCTCCTTCAACCAAGAAACCTTAGTTCTTTGCCTCTACTTGATCTCTTCCTTAACGGTCATTTCATCAAAGCTGATTTTTGCCTGGGATCTTTTCAGCCTCAACTCTTCTGATAAGGGAGCTACCTCTTCTGCTGAATCAATTTATTCAATAATGCTCAATAAGACTTTCTTTTCTGTTTATGAACTCAAATTGTTCTCCAACTTCCAGATTTTTAATTTTTCTTTAATTGCTCCCTTTTTTTTTTGCCAAAATAAAGGAACTAGAACCCTCCACCTGAAGATTATTTGTTTATTTATGTAATAAGATAAGTAGCATAAGAGTTGCAATCATGATGTTTGAATTAGGAGGACTAAAATCGACTTTTCAAAACTACCAATAGATTGAAAGGAAAAGGTTTGTTTTTAGAAAGGAAAAAGTATAAAATAATGATACAAGTTATAATGCCATGCAAAAAACAAACGTCAATGAAATTTTACTATGATGGAAAAGAAAACTACATTATTTTGAAAAGCAGAGAGGACCAAGGGAAGGAAGAAGAAATTGAGATAAACATATTTAAAATATGAACAAGGCTAAAACTAGGTCCTTGAAAGACCCATCTATGTCAGAAGGATCTGCTTTCAGTCATAGATTGGAAGTAGAAAACAAAAGACTAGCCTGGCATTCAGCAAGTTAAAACATGAAAAAGTCATTCTATTGAAATTGGATAAGAGTGTTTTATGGGTATCTGAATTTCATTAAAGTTCTAAGGTTAGGTGTGGCAATATTATGAGCTTTAACCAATTGAGCTAACAGGATTTTATTTCTTCCTGAGTTTAGATTGCTTGCATATTGCTATATATGTTAGGCATTTCTTTAATTATTTTCCTCATATGTGGTGCCTCACATTATTCAGTCACATGCCCATGCCTCAAGCTCTAGGAACCTTTTGCATTTAGTTGTACTTCTTGTTTTTGGAGCTGGTCTAGTTGGGAAAGTTGGAAAACTTCTTGCTTTTGGATATGGTCTAGTTGGAACATAAGATTTCTTGAAGCTGTGGGAGAGTATGGGAAACAACACTAGACTATTAGTGAATGCTCTATTATTTATTTATTTGGGTAAGTAAACCAAAGCAGCATAGGAACCAAACAACAACACACAACCTAACCAGGAGAACCTGAAACACCTGCAACAAAAGAGCTATCAAGGGCTGCATCAGCAGCCTTGGCTTTGGCAGCATGGGCATGGGCAGCCGAAATGTTTCTTTGGCTAACATGGATGAACCTAACATTTAGCCCTGTTAAACTGTAAAATGTAAATGTCCTGCAGCAAAGGCCAAACCTTTGGAGAGCAATAAAAAGAACAGGAAGATAAAGCCTTTTCAGTGTTCAGTGAGTAACTTCCAACCAAACATTTCTGAAGCCCAGGGCTTTAGCAGTCGAACAGCACACCCTTATGGCGAAAACTTCAGCATACTCTGCTGAGATGGCCTTACATGGCCCATATTTTGCAAACAAAAAAGAACCAGAACCAGTCCTTTGCACAATGCCGTGTGCATGCTCTATTTATGATCTTCCATTTTGGTGGACTTAAATGGCCTTCTATACTTAGTTTCTAGGTTCAGTAGGTTACTAACATTTAGCATTAGAATCAATAGCATGTTTCTCTTGCACAGGTGTGTTTTCTTGCTACAAAATCCTTCATCCGTTAATCTGTACCTGGTTGTCCTTGTCTTTTATGAGTCTCCATGCAATGTTGTGTTAACTGCAGAAAGGAAGATCAGCGGCACCCCCCCCCCTGCAGTAGAAAAAGACGTAGATATAGGATATCTGCTCATGAAAAGCTTTTACTATGCACATCCTCTATGAACTCTGGTCATTGCTAAGGTTGGAGAACCAAAGTTTCAAAATCTTCTAGATGGGGTGTTGGAGACTAGTAAAGAGATGTTCTGTTCAATTTTTCCAAGCATCAGCTGTGCTTCAAACCAATTGCTTCCAAATGTTCTGTTGTTTCTTCCTTTCTTTCATAAGCTCAAACAAATAGTAATTGGTTATTGGCTGATTACTTACTCCTTACAGTCCTACAAATGCTCTAAATTGATACCATATGGTGACCGCCATTTAGCTGGTGTACTTGTGCTTTGTTGGATTGATTATTCCATATCCTTTTGGATCATTTTCTGGGTTCTGAAATTTGTTTTCACTCATCAATTCTATCTGATATCTTTTGTTTTTTATTGTTATAGAAGTGTTTAAAAGGGCAGCCCACGAGGCTCCCACCAATGTGGGGTCTGGGGAGGGACAGATGTGTTAATTGTTATGATTCATTTACTCCACCTCCAGCTGTCAAGATTATGATCTATGACTATGGTTTAGTTCAGTTCGATTGGGAAGAATACTTTCTTTCCCTGTTCATTTTTTATGTGAAAAAATAGGGACTAAGGGAAGATTAATGGGCAATTTAAGCCATGTGGAATGAATACATGTTATTTGATGTTCTTCAGGTTTGGATATGTAAGTTCACCCTATAATATGGTTTAATTACTGAAAAGTTGATGAAAGAACCACATTTGGTTTTCATGGAATCTTTCTAATTTTCATTAATCATTAACAATTTGATAATGGTTTTGTTTTAGATGATTGACTCATGTAGATTCCAAATCCATTCATCTAATTTATTTTTGTTCTCATGCAAAATTGTATGACCTGTGATAATGAGGATTCAAATCTATATATTGTTAAATGGGACTTGCTTAGTATCTTCTGTTGGTTGTGCAGATCTTCATTCAATAGGTGGTTTAGTACCTCTTCTAGGTTACTTGAAAAACTCCCATGCTGGCATCCGAGCAAAGGCTGCAGAGGTTGTAACCACCATTGTTCAGAACAACCCCAGAAGTCAGCAACTTGTAATGGAGGCAAATGGTCTGGAATCTCTCCTCCATAATTTCACTTCAGATTCTGACATAACTGTTCGGACCAAAGCACTTGGTGCAATATCATGTAAGTACTCTCTCTTTCTCTCTCCCCCTGCCTACCAGCTCCTATATTAAGTTTGGTCAAGCTGCTTACAATTTGTTTCTTGTATGGTCTTTCAGCTCTTATACAACACAATAAACCTGGGATTTCTGCATTTCGTCTAGCAAATGGTTATGCAGCACTGAGGGAAGCATTGGGATCAGAAAATGCCAGATTTCAAAGGTATTTCTTCCAAAGATTTTCCAGATATTTTTATTTGCTCTTTCATTGGTCTTATGTAGCCATTTTTTTGATCTTCATTGCATGATTGTTGAAAAGTAGGTGAACTTACTTGCATTTAATTTGTTTACAAAAGCTTGTGCTTGTTTTAACCAAATTATGTTAGTTTCTCCTTGTTGTTGCCTGCCTTCTGTGCCTTGTGGTTGACGTATCAACCTGATCCAGTGCCTTTCTTTTGCTTATTTTAACCGGTTTATGCTAGTTTGCCTCTATTGCTGCCTGTCCTTCAGTTGGCATGACTAGCACCTTATTTTTCATTTATTTCTCTCTGAATGTCAGTGTTTTCTAATAAATAAGCCATTTACAGGAAGGCACTCAACCTGATCCAGTACCTTCTACACGAAAATAGTTCCGATTGCAGTGTGGTTACAGAATTAGGATTTCCCCGTCTGATGATGCACTTAGCATCAAGTGGTGATGCTGATGTACGAGAAGCTGCACTTAGGGGCCTTCTGGAGCTTACCCAAGACAGAAAAGGTGAAAGCATAAGCGTTTTTACTGAAGATGATGAGAAGCTAAAGCAAATTCTCCAGGATCGGATAAAAGATATCAGCTCCATGTCCTCCGATGACCTTGGGGCAGCCAAGGAGGAAAGACAGCTTGTTGACTCCCTGTGGAACGCCTGTTATAATGAGCCGTCCTCTCTCAGAGAGAAAGGTTTACTTGTTCTGCCGGGAGAAGATGCACCCCCACCTGATGTTGCCAGCAAGTTTTTTGAACCTCCACTGAGAGCCTGTGCTGCTGATAGAGACCCAACCAGCAAAAGGAAAGACACACCTTTGCTATTGGGGGCGGGTCCGAGCATAGGTGGTGATGCAAGAACTGATACCTAGAAATTAAGAAAGCACATTCAAGAAATTAGAGCTACAAATGATTTATCAAAAGAAAATTAGAGCTACAAATGGTATTTGTCCGTTTGTCCAATCTGATAGGATTTAAATGTATAAGCTTGTAATAGTTGGCTTGTTTGCTAGAGTCATGGATTTTAGTCAGGAGAAGTTATTTTGAAGTCATGAATATGCTATACAATATTAAAGTATTTTTTTCATGCTATACAACATTTTAAGTCCTTTTCAGTTCATTTCTTGTTAATGATATACAATATTTCTGATTCATTATTTTATATTTAATGGCATTGAATATGTGAATTCCATTTAAGCTCCCATCGGAATTCCATGGATAAAGTATTTATTTGAATCCACATTATTAACGTATCAAATCCAGATATAGGTGTGTCCATTAGGTTTTCTGCCCTATGAGAAATGCTTAATCGAGGTAACTTGTGGTTCATTTTACTCGGTCAGGGCCTTGAGGCATTAACCCCTGTTGTTTGAGGTTTTCCACACAGAAAATGGCCGTCTCCGGGGAAATTTTTTGTTCTTTCACCCGTATGAGTTGCGACTTGTACTTGGTTGATGATGAAGGGTGATTTGGCACAACCTAGCAAGAAGGGGATACGTAGGCGCGATCTGAGCGAGGGGTGATAATTCAGCCAAGTGAACCTAGTTCACAACATTCGGAGCTCGGGTATTAGCCACCTCGGCTCAAAAAACCATCTCGGTGTAGAGGCAATTCGACACCCAATCCAATTTGGGACTAAAGAATCGAAGTGGTAGTTCGGGGCTAAAGAGCCAAAATGTCAAATGATCGACTCCAAAGGCCTCTTCAACGGGCCCCAAATTTCTCGGGATCACGATAAGACTCGCTCTGCCTGAAACGGAGGTAAAACGATAAACCTTATCAACATACTACTCTCCTTAAAAAACGGAACAAACCTTATCTGCACAGCCCGAAGATCTCGGAGATCTTTTGTAAGGCCCATGACTACTCCAGTATATAAAGACATGAAGCCTCAAAGCAAAGGTACGTATGATTATTCTACTCACTAGCACTCAAGTTCTCAAGCATTCAGCTCACATTCACAGCATAAGTACTGACTTAAGCATCAGAGCGACCTTGTCGGGTTAGCTACCTCGGGTTCTCTCATCCACTATTTTGTAGATCGGTCCAGCTCGCTGCCCAATTGGAGTTCGGATCGCCTTCCAGCTAGGAGTAACCAGATCGTGCACCATCAATTGGCGCCGTCTATGGGAAACGATCGAAAGGTCATCCCTATCTCTTTACAGTTTCAAACTCAATCTCAACCCCAATGGCATCTTCCAGCCACACCGGAAAAAGTATCGAGATGAACGTCACTGGGGGGCAAGCTCAGCAATCAGCCTTCCCCCAAGGTCCTACGGTATGCATCGGTCAGTTTACTATTCTACTCAGTGTCCGGAGTTCCGTCATGCACCACACAAGTTAGCATCCCACTTCCCCTAGTGGTGGGCGTGACTTTCTCTGAGCCATCCGTGGTTCCCCCCGGAATCGGGCATTCCTAGTTCCATGACCTCGTTCAGTGCGTCCGGGCAATTCAGATCTAGATGCAGTAGGTCCAACAGTTCCAGCAGTACTAGCAGTATCAGCACCAGTTCCCTCCACTACAGCCGAACCAGCGGCTGGTTCCACCTCGGCACCTAGGGCCCCATCAGGGCCAGAACCTGAATCGGCCTGGAACCAACCAGAACATCAGCCAATCTCCCCATCAAGGTGAAGAGATCTCGCAAGTACCGATTCCTCCCAGGGGTCAGGTTTCGCCCCGTGGGAGGAGAGATGGTCAGCACACTCCTCCAGTATCGCAAGGAAATCTCAGAAACAGGTCCGGGGATAATCAACCTAACAGGACCAATCCGCCTCGGTACTCCCAACAGGAAAATGACGGCTCACGAGCAAATAATAACCAGTTCAGAGTTCGAGGTGCGAACTCGAGACAAGACCTCTCTGTCCCTCGTGATAGCCAGTTCGAGCCCCACAACCAAGAGAATCCAACGAGAAAGAACTAGGATCTACCTCGTGATAATGCCAAAATACCAGACCAGACTGAGGTTAGTAGTACCAACGCCGAACCAGTGAAGAAGCAGCAGCGGCGGCGTCGTAAAACATGCCGCCCCTTGGCCAGAGACAGTCCATTGGCGAAGCCAGGCCAATAAGAAGAGCAAGACAAAGGAAAGGAATAAGTGAGTTTGGTGGCTACGAAGACTGCGCCTCCACTACTTTGCCGGTCATCCCCTCTGTCTCTCGAGTTCTTGGCAACTCCAATGCCAAAAGATTTTAATATGCCTCCGTTAGATAAGTATGATGAGTCGTTTGACTTCAACGACCATGTGGACTCTTTCCAGTCTCAGATGCACCTAGCTGGGGCTGATGAGTCCTGCATGTGTGGCCTTCTCCACTACGTTTAAGGGGGTAGTCCAAACTTGTTATCGGAACCTCGCGTCGGGCTCCATCAAAAGTTGGTCCCAATTCGCCGACCTGTTTACTATGCACTTCATTACCATCAAGAAGTGTCTGAAATTACAAGAAAGCTTTCTGAACATGGTTCAGAGGGAAGGAGAATCAATCAGAAGCTATATAAAATGCTTCAACTATATTTGCTTGCAAATACCGGACCTCGATCCGACGGTACGACTCACTGCAGCAAAGAAAGGAATCATCCATAAAGAGTTTAAGTGGCATGTAGTAGCTAACAAACCAAAGGACGTCACCGAATTTCTCAAGTTAGCAGATCAGTTCATCGGTACCGAGGAGGAGATCAACCAAAAGATCGACAACCCACTGTCGGAAAAGAGGAAGGGAGAGAACGAAGGAACAAGTAATGGTGGGCAGAAAAGGAAGAAAAGCAAGTCCCCGAGCAGGGGAAGAAGCAAGTCAAGAAGCCGGTCCCTCTCGTGCACCCGCAAGCCAAGTCGGCACTCCAAGACCCCACCTATGGAGGGAACGAGCTACACGCCTTTGAACGCTAAGCGAGGAGAGATCTTAATGGATATTAAGGACTCCTTCGTCAAGTGGCCTCTCAGGCTAAGGGGAGACCCGACAACAAGAAACCCAAATGTCTACTGCCATTTCCACCGAGATCATGGACATAGCATGGAGAATTGCAGGAATCTCTGCTACAAGATTGATGAACTTATCCACCGCAAATACCTGAAGAACTTCATATTGCGAGAAGAGAGGGGACAAGTAGACCGACAAGCAGATCGACAGGGGGACCAAAGGAGGAATGGCCCTGAGGTCAACTAGCAGAATGAGCAACCACCACGACAGTTGCCAGAGGAAAGACTGATCCACGGGGTAATTAATATGATCATTGGCGGGTCCATCATCGCCGGATGTACATTAGCAGCTGGGAGGACCTCGGTTCGCGAGTTAGAGAATGAAGGGGAGAACCCGCCAAAGCGACCTCGGCTCAAAGAACCGATATACTTCATTGAGGATGATGCGCGCGAGATCTAGTACCCTCACGATGATGCCTTAGTGGCGAAGCTAAGGATTAATGACTTCTAGGTAAAACACATCTTGGTAGACTCAGGCAGTTCAGTAGATATACTCTTCAAGGAGACCTTTGACAAACTACAGTTACAACCGAGCGACTTGAAACCGGCTGATACTCCTTTGGTAGGGTTCAACAGCAAGGAGGTCAGACCTCTTGGTTGAATCACAGTACCCGTGGAAGCCGGCACGTGGCCAAACATCGTGCGATTTGAGCACACGTACTTGGTAGTCGCGACCCCCTCCTCCTACAACACCATAGTAGGTCGGCCCATCACGCATGTTCTACATGCAATAGTATCCACTTACTATTTAGCGATGAAGTTCCCAACTGATTACGAAGTGGGAGTTTTGCGAAATGACCAACTCGAATCACGCAAGTGCTACGTGGCTGCCCTAAAAGGAAAAGCAAAGATAGTAGGATGTCGAGCTCGAGCGACCAGTGGAGTATATCGACGAACGAGCTGCCCTGAAAGAGGAGATGGTCCACATACCAGTTTCTGTCGACGAACCAGCCAAGACTCTCCAGATCGGTGCCTCGATCAACGAACCACTTCGATCCCAGCTAGTAAGTTTCTTACTTGAAAATTTAGACGTTTTTGCTTGGTCTGCGGCAGATATGCCCGAAATTGATCCAAAAATCATAACTCACAAGCTTAATACTGACCCTTTAGTCAGGCCAGTAAGGCAAAAGAAACGTAACCTCGCCCTGGAGCATTGGAGGGTAGTCGATGAAGAGGTTGGGAAGCTCTTCGCGACAGACTTCATTAGGGAAGTCCATTACACGAGCTGGGTGGCTAACCCGGTTCTGGAGAAAAAAGCCAATGGCAAGTGGCACATGTGCGTCGACTACACCGACCTGAACAGAGCTTGCCCGAAAGATTGCTTCCCGCTACCCAAGATTGACCGCATAGTGGACGCGACCTCAGGGCATGAGTTGCTGAGCTTCTTGGATGCCTATTCCAGTTACAACCAAATTAGGATGGATCCTACTGACGAAGAGAAGACTGCGTTCATAACTGAGCTCGTGTTATATTGTTACAAGGTCATGCCCTTCGGATTGAAAACTGCTAGGGCAACATTCCAACGCCTTGTAAATAAGATTTTTGAGCTGTTAGTCGACAATAAAGTAGAACGCTATGTTGATGACATGGTCGTGAAGACTCAATTTTCAAATTTTTTATTGAATGATTTAAAAGATGTTTTTCAAATTTTACGAAGATATAACATGAAGTTAAATCCAAATAAGTGCATCTTCGGAGTCACTTCGGGTAAATTTCTAAGCTATATAGTCAACCGACATGGCACCGAGGCCACCCCGGAAAATAAAAGAGGTTCAGAGGCTGACTGGCCGGATAGCCGCCCTGAGCCGCTTCATGTCCAAATCGGTAGACCAGTGCTTACCCTTTTTTAAAGCTATAAAAAAAGTAAAGACTTCGAATGGACTAAAGAATGCCAGCTTGCTTTTGACGAGCTGAAAAGATACTTAGGTACCGCCCCAGTTTTAACTCGACCCGAAGAAGGGGATGTGTTAAAGTTATACCTCTCTGCAAATGATGAAATGGTTAGTTTGGAACTGATCAAAGAAGTAGACCGGGTTCAACGACCCATTTACTATGTTAGCAAAATTTTGCAGGATGGAGAAACTAGATATTCGGAGATCGAGAAACTAGCATACGCACTGATTATAGCAGCCCGAAAACTTCGCCCGTACTTCCAGGCCCACACCATTGTTGTTCTCACCAACAAACCTCTAAGGCAGATTCTGCTCAAGCCCGAGGTCTCTGGAAGATTAACGAAGTGGTCCATCGAGCTGAGCGAATACGATATCCGGTATAAGCCTCGGCCAGCAGTCAAAGCCCAGGTCTTGGCCGATTTTGTAGCAGAGTGCACATTAAGCACAACGACCCCCGAGTTGGCCAAGCTCGCTCACACGATGGGAGCGTCAACTAGTGTGGCACCAGTTCCAGTCAAAGTGGAACCGAGTTGGGACGACGAGCCCTGGATGAAGTGTTGGTCGTCGGGTTGACCTTAGCAAGGGAAGTGAAAGCAAAACACCTCATTGTATGCAACGACTCACAACTAGTGGTTAATCAAGTCATTGGTGAGTACGAAGCCCGTGACCCCACTATGGCAGCTTACTTGGCCAAAGTCAGAGAGATCCTGCGCAACTTCGTCTTCTGGTTTATCAGACAAATTTCGAGGTCTGAGAACGCTGAGGCTGACGCCTTGTCGCAACTAGCTAGCATGAGCAGCAACATCATGCGAACTGTGTACATAGAGGACTTACCTCGACCCAACATTCTTGGGGGGGGGGTAGAAGAAGTTGCTCCCGTATCACAAGCAGAACCGAGCTGGATCAATCCACTTGAGTTATTTGCTCCACGGGACCCTACCTGCAGAATGCAACATGACTTGATGGGTAGAGCGCCAGTCAGCTAAGTACATCCTCATATACGGACAACTGTACAGAAGATCTTTCATGCTCCATTATCTGCGCTTCTTGCGAGACTTGGGGGGCAGAGCTCTCACACAGAAAGTGTTAAGGCAAGACTATTATTGGCCCACGATGAAGGCAGATGCACTCGAGCTCGTCAAAAAGTGTGACAAGTGTAAGGGGCATGTCATATCCACCATCAACCTACTACTGATTTGAAATACCTTACCAGCCCATGGCCCTTTGCGTAGTGGGGAATTGACATCCTTGGTCCTTTCCCGCCAGCAACAGGGCAGATGAGGTTCTTGGTTGTAGCAGTATATTATTTTATGAATTGGGTGGAAGCCGAACCCTTGGTAACGATCACAACATGCAACATACATAATTTCTTCTTGAAAAGCATAGTATGTCACTTCGGACTACCTTGAGTGTTGATATCTGACAATGGAAAGCAGTTCGAAGATGTTAAGTTTCAAAACTGGTGTGCCGAAATGGGGATTCAACAAAGTTTTACCTTGGTGGCACACCCCCAGGCGAACGGGCAAGCAGAAGTAACTAACAGAGCGATACTTCGCGTATTGAAAGATCGCTTAGCTCGAATCAATGGATTGCGGGTGGACGAACTACCTAGTGTCCTTTGGGCTTACTGAACTACTATTAAGACCGCGACGGGTGAGACCCCTTTCAACCTCACGTACGGTACATAAGCGGTGATCCTAGCGAAAATAGAGGTGTCGACATTACGATTGGAGGCTTATGATGAGGAAACGAACGATGACAAACTCCGTACCAACCTAGACCTGGTAGAGGAGGTATGAGACCTGGCTTACATTCAGACCGCAACTTACCAACAAAGAGTAGGTCGGTACTATAATGCCTGGGTCAGAAAACAACACTCCGCATCGGCAACCTGATTCTTCGGAAGGTTATGGTACCTGAGCCCGGTGTTGGTAAACTCAAACCGAATTGGGAAGGTCCATACCGAGTTGTACTCCTCAACAGCCTTAACCTTGGCCTCCTCCATCGCCTGAAGCAGTAGTTCGGTTCGTTCCTTCACATGGGCCTCGAGATTCTTGACCTCCCTCTTCAATGTTGTTTCACGCTCTTCGTGCTCCATCTTCTCTGACATCAGCAGAGTTAGTAGCTCCTTCTTAGCTCGCGCGTCATTCTTCGGTTGGTTGATTTCGTTGCGAGCTAAGTTTAGTTCGGCGTGGGCATTTCGGGAAGACTCCTCGGCTTCAAGAGCCTGCTTCAGGTTCACCTCGGACTGATAAGCCAAGGCGTGGATGGAGGAGTTCACCTGCCAAGAGAAGAAAACAAGTATAAGTATACAAAAAATCTAAGTATGAGACAATTTGAAAGACAAGTTCAAGAACGTACCACCATATAGTGTGTAGCCGCTCGGGCCCCGAGTTGAGCAACTAGCAAGTCGGCCCAACGAGCAACCTCCTCGGTGAACACCACATCCTTGCTCTTGAGAAGGCCAAACTTTGGAGTCAAAATGCTCCAAACTGGAGCATCACTACTTGAAGAAGTGGCAGTCGCTAGGACGGACTCTGAAGGAGTAGCCTCCTCGGGCATGCGGTGTGGGGTGGGCTTGCCCGAGTCCTCCTCGGCCAAATCGATTACGGGAGACTGCTCGACAATTGGTGAGTGCTCGGGCTCAGGAATGACAACCTCAGTTGTAGCTGCTTCACTCTCGACGTGAGCCTTTTTGGAGGCTCTCTTCTTTTTCTTCCCCTTCTTCATACTCTCGAAGAGCTCATTGGTAGGGATGTCGTCCATGGCAGCTGCGATGAAAATGAGCTAAGTCAAATACAATACCAAAGTAAAACGAATAGAAAAAAGTACAACAAATAGTGACCAACCAAGAGGACTTAGGTCGTCCTGCACGAGCTTCTCCTTGGTCACGAAGTTTTTGAACTTTAGGCCGAGCTCCGCCCAAGATCGGACCTCCTCCATTGTCTTCAGGTCTAGTCTAACGCCGGGGTCTTGGATGGATGCCCTCCAATGAGTCGGGAAGGTCCACCCCTCGGTGTTACGGACCACGAAGTAATGCCTCTTCCAGGCTGGGACCTTATTATGGAGCTCGTGCAACAGTTTGTATCTAGGACGAGGTGACAAGTAGTAAGTTCACTTGTGCTCAGGCAGAACACAGGACAATTTTTTCTTAATAGAAAGGATCGAATAAAAGACGTCGAGGTCAAGGGGACGATTGTAATCATGGAAAAGAGTAATGGTCCCTACAATATTACGGATAGAGTTCGGGTGTAGCTGGTCTATGGTAATGTTAAAGAATTTAACGATTTCGATTATAAGAGGGTGAAGTGGAAGACGCAGACCGACTACCAGCTGCTCCTCGAAGATCATGACCTCGTTGTGATCATAATCCCAAGGAAAGTTGCCTAAGGGGATGCTATATACAAGGTCATTAGGGAGTCTGTACCGGGATACTAAAGTTAGGAGCTTGTCCGCCGTCATTATCGATGGGCCGAAGTTGTCTGGCAGCCGACCTCGGTGTGAGGTGGAGGCCGAGTTACCAAAGGCCTCTCGCTCTCGCCGAGGTGAGTTCACCACGAGCGGACTGAGGACCGTGTCTTGTCCCGAAGTGACCACCTCGGTGAGGTACCCACATCGGCCCCAGTGGACTTGCCGCTCCTATCTAAAAGATTATCTAAGCTAAGGCTAGACATGCTAAAGGAAAGGACAACGGAATCAAAAGGAAAAAGCAAAGGAAGGTGGACTTACCAAAAGGAAGACCGAAGAAAAGAAGGCGACCTTGGACCCAAAAAAGGCTGATACCAAATTAGAAGATTTGAGCGCAACCTAAAAATTTGCGGATTTGCGGACTTGTGGCGAGGAAAATGGGCCCTTGGCCCCTATTTATAACCAGTATATCCGGGAATCAACGATCAAGATCAACATGATCCGACGACTCCTAAGGAAACCGGTTGCACGCCCCTCGAGGTTTAAATTGATTTAGCGCGTGTTTTGACGTCCGCGGAGTTTATAAACAGTGTGACGTCCGCGCGTAGTTGAGACGCAACTTGGGTCATTTCATGGTTGAGCCAGGTGGTTGAACAGGCCCGACCAACGGTTCGCCCTTCAAGTTGTCTAGACTTCGTGCCAAATCCACATGGACTCGCCATGAACTCCCTGTACCGGGTTAGGACCCCTGGCACGAGGAGTGGGGGGCAATTGATGAAGGGTGATTTGGCACAACCTAGCAAGAAGGAGACACGTAGGCGTGATCTGATCGAGGGGTGACAACTCAGCCAAGCAAATCCAGTTCGCAACATTCGGAGCTCGGGTATTCAACCACCTCGGCCCAAAAAACCACCTCGGTGTAGAGGCATCTCGACACCCAATCCAATTTGGGACTAAAGAATCGAAGTGGCAGTTTGGGTTAGAGAGCCAAAACATCAAATGATCGACTCCAAAGGCCTCCCCAACGGGCCCCAAATTTCTCGGGATCACAATAAGACTCGCTCCACTTGAATCGGAGATAAAACGATAAACCTTATGAACATACTACTCTCCTTCAAAGGGGTGCTTTCCCCTTTCGCAAGGCAAAACGGTATCTTACTGTAGATTCCCACGTGCTCACACTACATACGTACGAAGTCTTTCAATTGCATTATCCGGCCACCGCATGTGCAACACGTATCCTCCTTTTCTTTGTTTTCCACGCATTCTTGCTCTCATCCTCTCTCCCCTTCTCGTTCTTGCTCTCTCGCTCACAGAAACATAAACCTCTCTCTCCTGCTCTCATCCCGCTGTTAATAGTTGCAGTGGCGACGTTTCTTTTAATTTTTCCCGTTAGTCTCTCTATTTCTATCTCTATTTCTATCACTCTCTCTTGCTCTCTCTTTCGTTCCCTTCCCCCTTCTTCCTCTTGCATTTTCTCTCCTGTTCATCGTCTCTTTCGACGGTAGCGGAGGAGATCGCAACGGCGAAGGAGTGATCGCCGGAGTGGCGGCGTCTCAATCCACGGGAGTTGTCATCTTTCGAATGCCGGAAACCTGAGGCCAAAGCCGCACCTCCTCTGTTCATCGACGTTGTCAGACCAAGATCTTGTAGCTTCACCGTTCAGACGAGGAAACCGGCGCAACTGCCGAGAAGGTGCTCCCGGGTAGAAGAACCTAATCTGGGAGTTCAGTTTACTCCTATGGATTGTTAGATCGCCATCGAAGCAGGTCATCCTCTCTTTCTGCAAATTACCTCGGAATGAAACAGACTTCTGATTCACCTGCTTTGCAGCGTCGATCATCCTTCTCTTTGTGTGTAGTTTGTTTTTTCTTTCTACTTTTTTTCTTGTTTCATTTCTCATATGTTTCTGCTGTTAAGGATCTGGGATCTGAGTGGGGGATTTTTGAGTTGGTTGAGTACTTTGTTGACCGAAGAGGACTGTGAGGGATAGGGAAGGGAATGAAAGAAAGTACTGCCACAAATCGTTCAGCAATTTTAACATATTCTTTGAATGATCTTGGTTAAAATTGATGATTGATCAAAACAATTCTTTTTTGCCTGGCAGTATTTTGTGGACATGGACGATACTGTTCCCCAAAAGGCAGTTGTTGTTTTAATGTTTGGTCCATTTTCCTTAGCTCATTCTATTTACTTGTTATTTATCGGAGAACGAATCTTCTGGATTATAGGTTTATGGTCTTACTATGAACCTTGTTCAAGGGCACACGGTGCCTCAAAAGGTTTGTTTTTGACAAATTAGAAATAGTAGGTGAGACCATTTTTCAAATGCTTAAACACCCATTACGATGGTTTACTGTATCATCTGTTGGTTCACAAGACTAGTCCAAGAGGGATCCATTTTAGACGCGTTGGACCACGTCAAAAGGTATACGTTTCTGTAGTATTCTTCATTCCAAAAAAAAAAAAAATGCAGGGAGCATATGTTAACAAGACTTCCTTTTATCTTGCTCAGGTTTATTTTGAGTCTGATGAAATGCATGCATGTATTGTAACGTGCGGTGGTCTATGCCCTGGGCTTAACACAGTTAACAGGATCCTTGGGATAGAGGTGAGTAGCCATGTCATTCGAGTTCACATATTCAAGATTTTTGTTTCAGTTCACTATCTATGTCATTAAACATGCTTTGTTGGTTAATGGTAATTGTTTGACCTTTGAAATAATATTAGGTCCTTGTGTTGCTTTCAAAATTGGTCTCTTACCCATCATTTGCAAGCTCCCTGCATCAATCCTTAGCAACTTGGTTTGCATCTTTGAGGTCTTCTGGTCTGGGATCTTGTCCAGAATTCCCAGATTGTATTCTCTTTTCTCCTTTTTCCAATCTAAGCATTGTACATTCCCCACCGAAATTTGAAACACAGTATGGTTTTCAAGACTAGTAGTGCAAGCACAGGGGTGCCCAATAACTAATTTGGTCCCACTGCTTTGAAGCTTTATTGTTCTCCTGTTCTCCATTAATTTGCATGTATCGTTATGACTGGTGTTGCATTTGAATATTGCATGCTTACCAAATAAATTATTTAGGTTTCCAGCACATCAACCTTCCAAGCTTTATGGCCTTAGCTGGTCCTTGGGACAATAGGAGACTTCTACTTGTACAAACTTCAATTTTACCGGTGTTGTGGAAAAGATCAGTACCTTTGTAATAATCAGGCCATCGGGGATAGACCTGGTCTTCTTTTATTATTCCGATAGTAATTTTTGAACCAGAAAACAGTGATTTGGGATAATCTATTCCTGCTCCATTGTCTTGCAATTAAAACTTTATATCTGAAATCCTAAGTAGATGAGGTGAGGCATCTTCGTTTTGAAAATGTTTCTTTCTGATTTTTTTTTTAGAATCAGAAGCCAGAACCGTCAGAGGGACACTATAAACTTGGATAAAGCTGGAATCAAATTTGAGAATTATTTCTTCTTTTTTGATGTAAAGAAATCTAAAGGATTGGTTAAATGGATCAACCCAGTGACTAGATATGATCATATGATTGTGAGAATCAATCAGAATCTGCTTATCAAAGAAAAAAATAGGATAAATTCTGAATCAGATTCAAGCCTAGAGGTTGTGAAAGTGGTTTGTAATTTGGCATTTTATAATTGCAATTCTTATAATGCTTATAGAAAATGAAGACAATTAAAAAAACATCAGGTACTTCAATTTTGATTGTTTATTTGATCCATAACTTTATAATTGGTAATAAGGATTTTTTTTCTTAGCTTACACCTTATATATGTTTCTTTGTTTTTTTTTTGGTGCATTGACTTGATGTTGTGCAATGGCAATGATACAGAATGAATGCTAATTGAAAAGCTGGCTTCACTCGAGGCACCCTATAGAGACCATGCTGTTCCCTCCAACGGTACCATTTTGTTTTCTTAAATAATGCCAATGTGTAAATTTTGATGAAAATTTTATTGAATGGTAATGGGTGTTTTCTGGTTTTTTTGATCCATAATTTTATTCTTTAAGGGACATTGAAGGTGACTTTAGCAACTGTAAGATGAGGAACAATAGCCATTCTTCAAGTGAAGGGGTCAAACACATCTCACCATTATAGGGAGCTCTTTAAAGAACGTTTTCAGGTAAGCAATCTTCATCACTGTGCAAGTGGCTAAAATGTTAGAAAGTTGTTTATGACATAAACCACATTAGTCATGTCAGGTTAAGAGAGTTTATGGGACTATAGTTTTGGTGGATTGGTCAGGTGCAGGAGCCTGAATGGCTACCCTGTTAGAATTTGGGAAATTGTCTCTTGAACTACAAAAAGTGTCATGAGAAATTGGAGCAAAAACCAAATCTTATTACATACACATTTTATTTAAAAATTATAGGCTTACTTTTCTGTGTGGTTTGTTGAGTCATTAACTCATTTAATTTCTTTTCTCACCATATACATCCACTGCTTCCATAGAGCTTTGATGTTCAAATAATTACTCAGACTTGTATAATAAATGTTCCCCTACATTAGCTTTTTCAAATTTCAAAGTAGTTTTGTTTTATTTCCACATTTAAATGAATGAAATTATCTTTCGTTCTTTTCATTTTAAAGGTTTTAGAAGCATTTCTCTCATATATAGATTTTCCTGTTTTTGGTTCTTATCCTAGAGACAAATAATGTGTCACATGTACAAAATGTTCAAATGAATGGTGCTGGCCCAAAATTTTACTTTAGGTTTCCTTATGTTACAAATGTATTTCCCTTGACCTAATCTGTTGCTGAACTCATTTTTAATTATCGGGTAATGCACAGGAGAAGGCAATCTCGGACACACTTTGTAACGGTTAGCATTGAAACACCCATTGCAGTTTGGACTTGTAGCAAACCAGATTCCTCAATTATGGCATCCATGTTTATGGTTTTTGTTATAAGCTGCATATTTCCTTTGATGGGGAGGACTAATTTGTCCACCCCCACCCTAGAGGAACTGCTCCCTTCCTCCCTGTAATAAAACAAGAACAGAGATGATTGTTCACATTTTGTAATACTACAAATTGCTCAGAAAGGAATTACCAAAAAAACAAAAAAGAATTGCGCAGAAGGGGATGGTTTATGAGATTTTGCTCACTCCATAGACAAAATAAAATAAGGCTTGGTGTTAGCAAAGAGAGGTTGTATATGTTTTATTTTTTAAAATTTTAATTTTTTATTCTAATGAAAACTATTTATTAGGGTTTTCTTCTCAATTTTGTTTGTTATTCTCTATTCTAAGCTCTATTTTTTGGTGGTTTCCTTCTCTTTGGAATGCATACTCATTCTCCTCTTTTCTCTTCTCAGATTTATTAGTTGTTTTTTGTTATGGGTTCTGTTTTTTTTTCTTCTCTTTTCGTTGCTTGGCAGGTGTTGTTTGCGCTTCTTCTCCGATGGTAGTTTCCTCTGTTCATGGAGGTTGTAGTGGCTTCGTTCTTTGGTGGAGATACTTTGTGTTTAGTGCATGGTTAGGGTTTTCAGTTCGTCTGTTAGTTGTTCTATTATTGGCAATATGGTTATTGTGGTTCATGGTGTTGATGGTGACATGTAGAGAGAGAGAGAGAGAGAGAGAGAGAGAGAGAGAACCAAGGTCATGAAAGCATGGACTCTCATGAGTATGGGAACATCACTGGATAGAGTTTCTTCTGCTCTTCGTTCTTCTCTGAATTGGCAATATAGCACCAAAGAGAGATTCAAGGCTATGAAGTAGGATTATCTCCAACTTCCAGTTTAGGGATATGCAGTAAGATTTTTGAAATATAATAACTCCCTCAACCATTCGTTCCAAGCTGAAGCACCAGTGACTCCTGATAGGATATCTGATTTGGATATTCAGGAAATGTTATAGGAAGATCAGTTTTCAGAAGTATGAGACAAGGTTTTTTAACAATTTTTTTTTTATTATATATTGAAGCCTATAGTGGTTGTTATTGGATTCTCTCTATTTGTGTGTATTCTACATTTTCTTCCTTCTGCCTGYCTGCTATTATATGGTGGCTGCATGTGGACCATTATCAATTGAGCTTCTCTTTGTAGGAAAATGTTTTCCATACAGTTCCTCCTAGTGCAGTGGAGAACTACAGAAAATTTGTTGAATCTTACTAGGCTCAATATGAGGTATGCTTGCCAATATGTTCTCTACATATATTTTCCATTTATTGGAAAAGTAATTTTTTTCTACATGTTTTTTCTTCACAAAAATATATTGGCTATAGAAGCTGAAAAGAAAGAGAATAAAATTCACACACATACATGAAGCATTCATTCAACTATAGGAATATTGAGATGGAAGGGAATCTCAGAATGGTAGTAGACTGGTTTCAAATTGATAGCTAAAGCACATGTCATTACAGATTCATAATAAGGGAGGTGAAGCATTTGGTTATGCAAGTAAGAATGGATTTTGTCCAAGTGCAGATATCAACAAGTAGCTTTGCTGATACATTGAGTTGACAAGGAGTGCAGAGAAAGCAATTTTTTTTGGTAACTTCTCTTTCTGTGATTGTTTCTAAATATGTAAATGAAGAAACATATAATGAGTTAGGGTAGTGGGGCTGGTCCAAATGCTCTTTTTAGGGGTTATGTGAACACATTTGACAAGTGTTCCCTTGAGGATAGTTTCAGTTGTTGAAGAAATTGTTCCACAAAGAATTGGTTGGTTCACAAGATGAATAGCATGTGTTTTGGGGAAATATATGCTTAATGACTTTGTAAGATGGGTCTGTTCTTATACATTTAAAATTTGTATTTCTTTTATTTGTATGCTATATATCTTTCATATATTAGTTGGTTCTTCCAGCAAAGACCAGGACTTGAATCCCACTGTCACAACTTTTATTATTCTTCCTTATAGTTCACTGTCACATTTACTTGGTATTACTCGCCCGTGCTCAGCATGGGCGCCCTTCGCTAGTGTGTTTTTAAATAAGTAATCCTTGTATGTTGACCAAAATGGCTCTGCAAGGGCAAATGTTACGTTCAAATTGTTTTAGTAGAGAAACCCTAATTAAGTGCCAGTGGACCATTTGAACTCCTGGAATAGACTAAAGCATGCCTTGCATCTATTGGTCAACAGGCACTGTCATGTGTGTGATTGCACTCATTACATGTTTGTGTTCTTTGTTCCATTAGAGGTGAACAGAGGCTTAAGTGAATATGGTTCATGCATGTTTCCTCTCTTAGCATAAGGTTTGGTGATTTCGCTTTCTTTGTTTCTGCTGTGTATTACTGTTCAATAGATTAATGGCCATATTTGTGTAAAAACTCCTACTTAAATTCACACAAGTAGATATTGTAAAAGGTAGCATTTTCTGGTTTCTAGTGTCGTAGGGGTCTTTTTCATATTGTTACTTAACCATTTTCTATTCCACAAGAAACACAATCAATTCAAAATTGAACTGACATTGTCATGACTTGACTTGGTGGTTGAATTTTGTTTAAAATATTGTTTTAGGCAATAGAAGTTGTTGATTTGGACCAACAGACTAAGATAGTGGCAGAGCTTGATGGTCATGTCATGCGTTGTGTCCGTGACCAGAATGGAAATCATGTTATACAGAAATGCATTGAATGCATACATCAAGATGCTATTCAGTTTATTGTCTCACCATTCTATGACCAAGTTGTGACACTGTCTACTCATCCATATGGCTGTTGTGTCATACAGGTTTGAATTGTTTTACCAATTTAATTAACCACACGTTTCGTTTCTTGTTATTCCAAGGGTTGCAATAAATAACAATTTTAGAGGCTAGTATGCTATGCCTTTCTTATTATGATGACCCAACAACCCAGCGTATCATGATGGATGAGATTTTGCAATCTGTTTGTATGTTGGCACACCAATATGGAATTATGCTGTTCAGGTGTGTCGTCTTCATAGAGATTTTGTATCTACTGCCTGTTTTTGTGTTGTTATTGTAGCTTCTAGTGATTGCACAGGATCCATTTTCATGTTTTCTGTTTACTAGAATAATTAACTTGGTGATATGTCTGGATATGGAGATTATGGTTTTCAGTGCTGTTATGGTTTTCCATGTTATTATCTTCACCATGGAGTTCTTTGATTCTGGGGCTATTATGCCTATAGTTTGGACTTTTTTTGGTTGTTCTATTTGTTGCCTTCTATTGCCTTGTTCCATCATAAAGTTTGATGGATGAGAGCTATGTATGCCAAATTTCTGGAAGACAGAAACAAGTACTAATAGACATTGGTTTACACTTATTATTTAATTGAGGCTTTACCATTTTGATATACATTTTGGAAAGGTTTGAATTAAAAACCTATACATAAAACAAAGATGACAAGTACTGTATTTTTTCCTTTTCTCTCAAGCAACATGAACTTGTATCTTTCTTGAAGCAACATGAACTTGTAAGTTCATCATGTAACTCTTGCTTTTGTGAGTAACACTTTGGTAAATAACATGCCATTTTTAGTGCATTTGTATCTTTCTTGAAGCAGATGGTAAATTCATGAAGTGGATTTTGATCTACTGCTGAAATGAAGGGGCCTCCTGCACGTGTCCATCCCTCTGGGATCTTCCATATTTTATAACTGAAATATGTTGCTGAATGTGCATGAGTTTAAATTATGGGTTCTGCTTTACTGCTGAAATGAGGGGGCCTCCTGCATGAGTCCATCCATTTTTAAAGACCTGTTATTATGATAAGCTTACTCCAACCTTTTGTTGGTTTGCACTGATCTGTTTGATTGCTTTTTCAAATCCCTATTTTGGAGTTTAAAGTTTTTCTGCTCTCAGAACCTATAAGCTGTCAATAGTTCAAACTACTACCTAAAGTATCCTGCAATGTATGCTTGTGTTTTATGTTTGTTTCCCTGTTTTGATTTGCCACACATGTTTAACAGCATGTATTGGAGCATGGAAAACCCCATGAGCGTTCTGCTATAATCAAGAAATTATCTGGACAAGTTGTTCAAATGAGCCAGCAGAAATTTGGCTCCAATGTTGTGGAGAAGTGTTTGACATGTGGTGGTCCTACAGAACACCAGATTTTAGTAAATGAGAACCTTTGCAGGTTTGTGAACTCTCTCTGGTTTTATGGTTGGATCAAATAAAACATACTAGGACACAGAAGTGAAATTTACAAGGGAAGAAATGTGGAGAGCAGCATTTGGAAGGAGATCTCAGAGGAGGACGTGGGGGAGAAAGGGGAAAAAGAAAAAGGGGAAGAGCGAGGGCAGGGTGGAACAAAGGTCACTAGGAGGGAAGACACTTGCAGAGGTGGTGATTTAGTAGTTTCTGCTGAGAACAACGAGATGGCTGAGGAAGAAGAGGTACAACCACTTGCAGTAGTCTTGGCGGATGAGAGGGCAGAATGGTTTGATAACGAACAGAGGGTACCTCAATGGGCGTTAGAAGAGGGAGTGGCAATGAAGGGGATGGAAGGAGTGACAAAGAAGTACCTAGAAGAAATCGAAAGAAAAGTTCTAGAAGAGAGGGAAAAGAGGGAGAAGAACAGAGAAAGAACTGTTCAGATTGGCTTGGGGTCTAAATGAGAAGGCTGGAAGTGCAAATAGAATTCAGAAATCGGGCGGTGAAAGGTTGGAAGAGTTTTTTGGGAGGTTTATTTTGTACATATCAGACTTAGAGTTTTAGTGTACAGATGGAGTCGCTAAAGATAGTGTCGTGTAATATAAGGGGTATGAATTCTGGTCGTAGGAAGGGTGGTGGCTAATGCTTTTCTGAAAAAATGGAATCTGGGTATATTGTGTCTGCAGGAAACAAAGATGGAAAAATTGAATCAGGCAGTGGTGAGAAGCATTTGGGGGGACTGCAGCTGTGATTGGGCAACCCTTCCTGCTCAAGGAACTTCGGGGGGATTCTGGTGGTGTGGGACACTGAGGTGGTTCCAGTGAAGGACAAATTCGTAGGGCAGTTCTCGATCTCTTTAAGCCTCTAGGCACAGAACAGAGATTGGGAATGGATTTTAACTGTGATCTATTGTCCAAATGAGGAGGTTTTGAGAAGTTTGTTTTGGGAGGAACTAGATGAGACAAGGAGAAAATGGAGTCTTCCTTGGGTCATAGGGGGGGATTTTAATACAATTCAGATTTTCTTATGAGAAGAAAGGTTGCAGGGAGAATAGGAGGGGAATGAGGGGTTCTGCAGAGTTCATGACATGGGAGCTGGTTGACCTACCTCTGTTGGGGGGAAATACTCATGGACAAATAACCAAGAAGAGGCAACTTTGGTCAAATTAGACAGGTTTGTGGTTTCTACAGAGTGGGAGGATTTGTTCCCTAACTTGACCCTGGAGATGCTTCCAAGACCTGTTTCAGATCATGCACCAGTGGTGTTGGATTGTGGTGGTATAAGGGGAGGTCACTCTCCTTTCAGACTGGAGCATTCATGGTTTGAAGAACCAGATTTCCTGGATTTGGTAGCTGAGTGGTGTGCTGGCTTCTCTTTTGAAGGCACGGCAAGTCATATTTTTAGCAAAAGATTAAAGGAGTTAAAACAGAGGAATAAAGAGTGGAGCAGAGAAGTGTTCAAAGAAAGTGAGAATAAAAAGAAAAGTTGCTTGGAAGTAATTGGTGAAATAGATAGGGAAGAGGAAAATGGAACTATTGGCAGAGAGGAAAGAGTAAGGGACATGGCAAAAAGGGAGTATGTCAACCTTGTTTATAAAGAAGAAATTAAGTGGAGGCAGAGGTCAAGATGTCTATGGTTGTGAGAGGGGGACAGCAACACAAAGTTCTTCCATAAAATGGCTAGTGCAAGGAGAGAAAACACAATAAAAAAACTGGAAGTTCAGGGTGTGGTTATAGAGGAGGAAAGGCAGATCAAAGTTCATATAGTGAAGTTTTATAAATCTCTTTACAAAGAAAACTGGAAGGTTGGACAAGTGTTATAAGGTTTACAGTTTGAATCCCTCTCAACTGAGCAGTCTAGAGATTTGGAGAAGCTGTTTACAGAGGAAGAATTATGGGAAGTGATAAAAGGGTTTGAGGGTGATAAGGCTCTGGGTCCGGATGGGTTTACGATTCTGTTTTACAAGAAGTGTTGGGAAATTGTGAAGATGGACATGTAGAATGTGTTAAGCGAATTTCATGAAAGGGGTTCTCTAGAAGGAAGCCTAAATCACACATTCATCTCTTTAGTTCCGAAAAAGAAGGGGACAGTGAAGCTTGCAGATTTTAGGCCAATTAGCCTAATTAGTAGCTTGTACAAGATATTAGCTAAAGTGTTAGCTAATAGAATGGAAAAAGGTGATGTCAATTCTGATTGCAGAATCTCAAGGAGCATTTATGGGGGGCAGGCTGCTAGTGGATGGGGTCCTTGTTGCAAATGAATTAATAGATTCAAGGAGAAAAAGTGGAAGAGCGGGTCTGTTATGCAAAGTGGATATGGAGAAGGCATATGACCATGTAAACTGGAATTTTCTTGGCTATATGCTGAAGAGGTTTAATTTCGGGAGGAAATGGAGAAATTGGATAAAAATGTGCTTATCTTCTTCATCTTTCTCAGTCCTGGTGAATGGTAGCTCTTGTGGTATGCTTAGAAGTTATAGGGGTCTGAGACAAGGGGACCCTTTTTCCCCCCTTCTGTTTATTTATGTGACAGAAGCCCTGTACAGGATGGTAGAAAGAGCGTGATTGGGAGGAATGCTGGAAGGTTTTAAAGTAGGCAGTGGGGAGGTGGAGATAGTTCTTCTTCAATTTGCAGATGACATGTTATTTTTCTGTGACGTCTCGTGGGAACAAATCTGGAATGTGAAGGCAATATTAAGATGGTTTGAGGTGGTGTCAGGCTTGCATGTCAACATCTTGAAGAGTGAATTAATGGAAGAATGGGCAGAGGATTGGGGATGTAAAGTCGGAAAGCTTCCTTCTAGATACTTGGGCATGCCTCTAGGAGAAAGTTGTAAATCCAAATCTATTTGGGAACCTATCTTGGAGAAGGTAGACAAGAAATTAGCCTCTTGGAAGAAAAAATATTTATCCAAGGGCGGCAAAGTAACCTTAATTAAAAGTGTGCTGGCTTCCCTCCCAATTTTCTACTTATCCTTATTCCCTATTCCGGCTAAATGGGCTGCTGCATTAGAAAAAAAGATGAGGGATTTTTTGTGGAGGGGTTGGAGGGAGGAATCAAAATGCCACTTGGTGAATTGGAAGAATATCTGTTGTTCCAAGACAAATGGGGGCCTAGGGATCAGATCAGTAAGAGAGGTAAACACAGCTCTCCTTGGTAAATGTCTATGGAGGTTTAACGAACAGACAGAAAGTCTATGGAGAAGGCTGATAGTAGCCAAATATGGGCTAAGTAGCAGGAATTGGGAAACAGAGGAGATAAGCTCTCCCTATGGATGCTCAATCTGGAAGGCCATACAAAAAATCCAGCCCCAGTTTTCAAAGGGAATAAAATACAAAGTGGGAAATGGTAGGAGGGTTCTTTTTTGGAAGGATAATTGGTGTGAAGAGGGCCCCTTAAAAAATGTTTTCCCGGACCTGTTTGAAATCACCACAAACAAAAACACAACTGTTGCTGAATGTTTGGAAAGGCAGAATGGTCATTGCTCTTGGAACCCTCAGTTCAGGAGAAACTTAAATGATTGGGAGGTGGCATCCTTAATCAGATTGCTCCAGCTTCTGTATGACTCGAACATATCTGGAATAGGGGAAGATAAATGAGTGTGGAGTCTTGAGAAGTCAGGTATGTTCTCTGTAAAATTGTTTTTTAAAGCAGTTTCAAAGGAGGAAGCTATATCTTTCCCAAGTCAAAGAATATGGGTTAGAACTGTGCCTTCAAAGATAGCCTTCTTTGTTTGGTCAGCAGTGCTATTCTAACCAAGGACAACTTAGTCAAAAGAGGGTTTGAAGTGGTAGACATGGCATGTCCCCTATGTATTGGGAATGTGGAATCATCTAGTCATCTGCTGTTACACTGCAATTTTACTCACTGGATATGGTTAAGAGTGGTGGAATTATTTGGTGCTAAGCCATCCTGGCGGAAAATAAAAAGAGAAGGAAACCTTTTAGGTTTGAAGATATGTGGAGTACACATGAAGACTGCCCAAAAATGATAAAAGAAATTTGGGAATCTAGTGTTGAAGAGGACTGTCATAACCAAGTGGTGAAAAATTGCATAACTTTGAGGGCAAATTTAATCAAGTGGAATAAGAAAGTTTTTGGAAAAGTTCAGGAGAAAATAAAGGCTCTGCAAGTAGAACTGGGTGTTGAGAGAAATAAACCCAGGTGCTCTAAAATCAGACATTTGGAGCTGCTTTTGGACAATGAATTGAAAAGGGAAGAAATCTTGTGGGCCCAAAAGTCAAGACAAAATTGGCTGAATTTGGGGGATAGAAACACAAAACACAAGATTTTTCCACCAAGCAACCCTAAGAAGAAGAGAGCTAGAAACAGAATTGTTTCTCTAAAGGATGACAATGGAGTGTGAATAACTGGGCAAGAGCAGATTAGTAATTCCCTAGTCAAGCACTTTGCAGATCTGTTCAAGTCTTCAGATCTGGAAGAGGGACAGGAAATTCTAAGAAATGTGAGGGTTGTAATTAGCAATGAGGATAACTTTTGGCTTCAGAGAGAGGTTGATGAAAAATAGATTAAGGATTCCCTTTTTCAAATGGCTCCTCATAAGGCCCCTGGTCCAGATGGTTACCCGAAGTCCTTTTTCCAAAGTTACTGGGAGATAGTGTGATCAAGTTTTGTAAAGGCAATCTTAGATTTTTTTCAGAAAGGAGTACTTCATGAAGACATTAATAAAACCTTTATTGCCTTAATTCCAAAATGCAGAATACCTGAGGATGCCTCACAATTTCGACCCATTAGCCTATGTAACTACATTGTATAAAACCATATCCAAGATATTGGTGAACAGAGTTAAGCCCATCTTAACCAAAATAATCAGTCCAAATCAGAGTGCCTTTGTTCCTGGTAGAATGATATATGATAACATTTTGGTATCCCATGAACTAATCCATTTCATGAAAAACATAGAGTAAACAAAGTTTCATGGCAATAAAACTGGACATGAACAAGGCTTATGACAGGGTGGAGTGGGTTTTTGTAAAAAACACCATGGAAAAATTGGGCTTTGGTGAAAAATTTATTAATTGGGTTATGTAGTGTATCTCCTCAGCTTCATTTCAGTTGCTGGTAAATGGGAGTCCAAGCTCCAGATTCTTTCCTTCTAGGGGTCTCAGACAAGGGGATCCTTTGCCCCCTTATTTGTTCTTAATTGTCTCTGGAGTCCTATCTTTAGCCCTGAATCATGCTCACTCTGGGAGATATCTTTGGAATTAAAGTAAATGTCAATTTTTTGGCTGTTACTCGCTTATTTTTTTCCGATGACTCTTACATCTTCTCAAGGGCCAACATGGCAGAAGGAAGGGTGATAATGGAGATTCTGGATCAGTATGGGAAGGCTTCCGGTCAAAAGGTGAATCTAGGAAATCCGTCCAAGTATCTGGGGTTACCCTCAGTCTTTGGCAAGTAAAAAAGGAGTGTTTTTGGTTATTTAAAGGAAAGATTAGAAAGCAAAACAAATGGGTGGAAGGCCTCGTTCCTATCATTTGCAGGAAAGGAAGTAATGATCAAGACAGTGTTAACTACAATCCCATCTTATGCCATGTCATGCTTCCTAATCCCAAAAACCATATGCAACCGGCTAGGAAAAGCCCAAAGGCAATTCATGTGGGGGGACTCAAACAAACAGAAGAAAATTAGGTGGATTAGTTGGGCGAAAATCTGCAAAAGCAAATATCTGGGGGGCTTGGGCTTCAGAGACCCTCACTTATTAAACCTAGCCCTTTTGGCAAAGCTAGCTTGGAGGTTCTGCACAGCTAAAGATAGCTTGTGGGTTAGTTTAATTCAAGGTAGATACCTCAAGCACAAAAAAATTCTGGACTATTTCTACTCCTTGAAGATGTTCTTGGGGATTTAAAAGCCTTTTGGTAGGTAGGGATCTGCTTAGGGAAGGGGCATGTTGGAGCATCGCGAAAGGGGAGAATCTGAATATCTTGGATGATCCTTGGATTTTGGGGTCTCCAAATTTTAAGCCCATGGGCCCTAGACCTAGAAATGGGTTTTGTTAAATGGGTGATTGATCTTATAGATCCCCAAAACAGAAACTGGAATGTAAGGAAAATTCAAAACTTGTTTGGTCAAGCCATAGCTGATAGCATCTATAACTTGGATCTTCGTAGATCAGGTGGTGAGGACAGGTTGATTTGGACTCCGAATCCCAAAGGAAAGTTCACAGTTAAATCTGCGTACCATCTGGCTACCTCTCTATTTAAATGATCAAGGTGTAGCCTCCAGTCAAAATTCTTTGAGTTCAGCTCTCTGGAAGAATATTTGGGTTTTAAAAGTCCCTCCAAAGATAAAGCACTTCATCTAGAAGGCTTGCCATAATAGCCTAGCTGTAAACTCTAAACTTGTTAAAAGAAACTTAAATATGAGTATTCTGTGTCCAATCTGTGGTGGGACAGAGGAAAATATCCTGCATGCCCTCTTTTACTGTGATCATGCAAGGGCAACATGGTTTGGGAGCAGTTTAGGCTTCATTTGTTCAAATTTTCAATCCTTTTAACACTTATGCAGATTGGTGGGACTGGTGGATTAATCAAAAGATTGTTACTCATGATTTGTTAAAGCCCTCTGTAGAATTTTTTGTTATCATATGATGGAATATGTGGATTGCAAGAAACAAAGTTGTCTTTGAAGGAATGCAGCCTAATCCCAATATAACTTTGTTTTATATTAACAGGATGACGAAGGAAGTGTGGAAAGTTCCCCCTCAAGAATCAACAGGTTCTTCTCTGAAGTTGCAGTGAATAGGAATTTTTTGCCTCCCCAACAAGATAATCCTTTTTGTTAAGCAAAAACTGATGGTAGTTTCTGTAAAAATGGGTCCAGTGGTTATTGTTTTTGGTTAACAGATGGGCTTAAATCTTTTTTGTTGGCCAGCTGTGGTGGATGTAAATCTGTTTCAGCCGAATGTTATGAACTATCAGCTATACTGAACTATTGCTTAGCTGCAAAAAATTTGGGTTGTAATGCTATTAGTATAAAATGTGACACTGTAAATTTAGTTAATGTGCTGAATCAGAAATCTTTCGATTGTTCCCCTTTGATCTGGCCATTGCTGCATGTTTTGTACTCCATGGGTTGTTTTTCTGTTAGTCTCAAGCACACCAGCAGATCTGTGAATGGGCCCATGAACTTGCTTTGAAAGGTAGAGATGGTCTGGTGTCAGGTTGGAGGAGCCCCTCGGTTTGGTTAGTTACTCTCTTGATAGAAGATGGTGGCCGTGTTTTTTCTGAGGTTTGGCTGCCTCCTTGGGCTTTGTAGTCTATATAGTAGCTGTGTAGTTTTGTTAGTTTGTTGTGTTTTTTGTTTGTTTTTCTAAGTTCATGTTGTTTTTGTTTCGTTTCTTGTTGGTTTTGTCTCCTAGTTGTGGTTGTAGTGTAGGTTTCTCTGTATCTGTTCTGTTTCTTGTTTAATGGGATTTACTATTCACCAAAAAAAAAAGAAATAATAATAAAAAATAAATAAAATATTTACTGAAACAGATAAATGTGTTTGGGGAAAAAGTCGCGGGTCTCCTTAGCTTCATTATTTGGGTTCAATATATGGCTAAAACTTGTGGGCTTATTGTGGCAACACTAAGGCAAATAGCAGTGGTGGAGCCATCGTGTGGGTTGGTGGCATCTCAACTCGATATTTGCAGGCGACATCACAGCTTATACGGTGGCAGGGTTGTTTAGGGTCTCCTTCTGGTCAGAGCGGACACTTAGGATTGAATCCCGTCTGCACCTGGGTTCGGGGGTTTAGGGTTCACAACTCCACGCCATGGTAAGCAAAGTTTTAGACTTTTGGTAGCAAGCCAGCAACAGGCCTGTGCTGTATGGTGGTTGGGCCGACGACATCAAACTGCTCAAGTGCAGCCTGATGACAAATAGGGATTTGGGAAAGGAGGCAAACAATATAACAAATAGATATGAAAAAATTGTACAAGGGAAAGGGGGTGGAGATAAGAATAGAACAGAGATTTGAAAGATAGAATAGAAATAGAACCAGGAACCAAGAGATTACGATGGTAGGGGTTAGGGTTTAACCATTTAGGTACTTTTTCTTTTAAGATTTTCGTAATGACATAGGGGATAGGGGTATATAAAACTCATCCGATACTAAAATGCTTGACTTGGATTTTGGATCGGATTACAGATTTTTAGGTATCATTGAGAGGCCTAGCTAGCGCCACTGAAAACTGAAAATCCATCAAGATCACATCTACGCCCCATAGAGGGCGCCCTACAAACACCCCACCAATACACGGTCGGGATATGCTGTGGGGCGTGGGTGTGAATTCAAATCCATTGGTAGCATTGCATTCTAATTTCCAATGCGTGTGTACTTGAGGTGGTTTCAATTTTCACCCTAAGGCCCTGTTTGGTTCACAGGAATAGGGGTCTGGAATCGGAATCAGAATGGGTTATTCCTATTCTAACTGTTTGGTTAAGCGGAATTGGAACTGGAATCCCCATTTTCATTCCTGCTGGAATGACATTCTTTCATTTAAGAGAATGGCCATTTCCTGCCCCTCCTTTGAGAATGAAATCCCATTCCTGCTGATTTCAATTTCAATTCCTATTTCCGTTCTTGTCTGTATCAAACAGACTATAGGAATAGACCATTCCGATTCCTACTGCAAACCAAACAAACCCTTAAGTTTCTGTCCACTTTAAATGAAGTGAGAATTGAGAGAAGTGACAACCAGTTCATATTTGTCGTGGCTGAAGCTCGTTTTTTGTTCTTTGACATACCATGCTTCAGCTGCCGGAATCCTTGAATGCTTGACCTTGAAAACATATTACGTCTAGTTCTAGTTCAACTCTATTACAGTAGGGAAAACCTATGATAACGAAAAGAGGTGGCATTGAAAGGGCTTTGACCAATCAAAGCATCCTCGTGAATTGTGATTAACACCACCTGATTAGTCATCTCATTTATGATACCAATTGATTTGCTATGTGTTTTTCTGTTTCTGATATCATAGTCAAACCCATTACCATATTATTTACCCACTGATCTACCTCGTTCTCTCCACTCTTGGCTCTTGAGTTGAGGATACCAGCCAATTGTGCAATAAAACCTGTGATCGTCATGCATTCGTTTAGTTTTCTTCTTCTTTTAAGCTCGGACTCGGAGTACGCATTCTATTAGGTGTGATACCAATATATGAATTAAGGCCCCCTTCACGGAAATCGGGGTTTGGAATCAGAATTGGAATGAGTTATTCCGATTCCAACTGTTTGATTGGGCGGAATTGGAATCCCATTCCCATTCTTACTGGAATGACATTCTCCCATATGAGGGAATGGCCATTCTCTGCCCCTCCCTTGGGAATAAAATTCCATTCCCATTCTTGTCTGAACCAAACAGATTATGGGAATGGATCATTCCGATTCCGATTCTGGAGGATTTTGATTCTGGTTCTGCCTACGAACCAAATGGACCCTAATATACATTAACAAGTTGTCCTACATCTTTAGTTATGACCTCATGGGTCTCATATTATGGCTAGTGGAAACTAGGCTAAAATGAAAACACCATGTGCAACTAGTAGGTCAAGCGATAGATAACTATGTTCTGTTAGGTCCGCAGTTAGAATTGGAATCGGAATTAGAATCGAAATCCTTTAGAATTAGAATTCAAATGGTTTATTCCCATAGTCTGTTTAGTTCAGACAGAAATAGAAATGGGAATTGGAATCTACAGAAATGAGATTTCACTCCCAAGAGAGGGGCAAGGAATGGCCATTCCTAGAGGTGTAAAGTGGGCCATGCCGAGCCGGCACGACACAGCCCGTAGGTAGCTTGCGCAAAGTGTGGGCCATGCCGTGCTGGCCCGCGGGCTGTCACGGGTCGTGCCACCTTCCCCTGTGAAAATTTTGGGGGTCGGCCCAGCACGGTCCACGGCCTAGGCCCATGCCATGTCGTGCCGTAGGCCTGGGCCAAGCTGGGTTGCAGGCCATGCCAGGCTGGGCCATAGGGCGGGCCTTGGGCTTGGGCCGAACCGAGCTAAACTAAATGAATATCAGGATATGAATTTACGATTACCCAATAAATAAATAAATAAAAGTATAAAACAATTCAAATAGGAATTTTATTTCATTTAAATTTGAATGAATAATGATACAAATTACAAAGCATACAAATATTGAAATATACAATGGTTGGATACTTCATACTTCATGCTTGGATGAATGAAATATGAAAATGGAATAAATTAATAAAATATAGAAAATACAATATAGTTACAAATTGAAAATATAAAATTACATTAATAGCAAATAAATTAAATAAAATTAAAACAAAATTTACATATACATTATGATGAAAGCATTCATGCACACTTTCATCATCTGCTTTAGGTGAAATATCCGGTGTATGTAGTAATATCATGCCCTTCTTTGTCTTGTAATTGTAAAGTTGTAATCTATATTCTGCATCATGATTCATGACTATATCTAGCCAACCCTAGTACAGTGGTACTTACAGGTCCTGCACTAAAACAACTAAACAAGACTTCGATGGAACTGTAGCCTGTAGACACCGGAGGGGTTAGTAGGTCATGGATCACGTGCCATGGCGGGATTGGCGGCGAGAAATGTTCTCCGACTTCTCCCAATATTTTTGAAATTTATTTTCCATTATTTCAACAATTCATTTAAATTGTGGGTTATTTCTTCTTCCTTCTCATGTGTGAGAAAATGTCTGGTCAAATGATTAGTACCACCATTGCTACAATAGTTAAAGTCTTTTCTATATTTTTAGCAAACTACTCTTTTCCCCTTCCTCTCAACATCCTCTATTTTAAATATTTTTCAAATCGGGCTACTGAACTTGGGGTTTTGGGAAGAACTGGCAATTTTTTTTCAAATTCTAAAAAAATAAAATTAATTCAATTGGACTTACCTCGGATTGACGGTTCAGAATCCTAACTTGATTTCAACGGTTAAATCCTTTCAACATGACAACGTCCAAGGCTCCAAGCCTCCCAAATTGCTAACTTAGAGAATCAGACAATCAACCAATCAGATTATGAGACTATCAGAGTTCACTCAGATTGCAAAGAATGTATGAGAGATTGAGAGAGGGAAGACTGAAGAAATTAAGAGAACAAGGGAATTGTTGAATGCTGATTGTTGAATTGGTGTGATGAGAAGAATGGTGGAGGATAGGGGCCATAAGGCTATTTATAGGAATTGAAAATAATTCAATTGTCCAAAATACCCTAAAAACTAACTATTTTTTAGTTGTTGGGAGGGGTATTTTGGTCATTGTAAAGTTATTTATAACTTTACCCAAAAAGCCCCCCTAAACTAGTTATATAGTTGTTGGGGGGCATTTGTGTCATTTTCTCCCCTCCATTAGCAAAATACATAAATACTCCCCCATATAGCTGTTTATAGCTGTTAGGGGGGTATTTATGTAAACCCCCCCCCCAAAAAAAAAAGCTGAAACTAGCCGTTGGGGGGGGGGCAATGGCTAGTTTCCGGACGAGCCAAGCATAGCCCGCTATGAGCCCTACGGGCCATGCCGTGCTCGCCCGTGACGGGCCGTGGTGCAGGCTGTGCTATGGGCTGGGCTGTGCCAGCAAGCGCCTCGTATACCTCGAATCCCTGGCCCAGCACGACACAGACAATCTTGCCAGGCCTGGCACGGCCTGTGGGCTGTCGTGCCGTGCCGGGTCAGGCTAGTCCAACTTCATGCCGGCCCATGGCCCGATTTACACCTCTAGCCATTCCCTCAAATGGGGGAATGCTATTCCAACAGGAATGAAAATGGGATTCCGATTCTACCAACCAAACAGCTGGAATTAGAATAGCCCATTCCAATTCCCATTCCAGACCCCTATTCTAGTGAACCAAAACGGGGCCTTAGTAACTGGAAAAGTATTCTATGAAGAGGCATCTAACAGGTGAATTAGGTTCCAAATGATACGTTTTTTGACTCGATTCGAAGAAAATAAATATACATATGTACATTATAAAACCTTGTACACTATATTTTTAAATATTATATTTGTACTCTATATGTTTATTTATATTTACACTCCTTCCAAACTGAACCCAACAAGGTTTAAAATATTAAGAGTTTCCAAATGGGAAAATGCTAATATGTGGAATTCACTGTAAACTTCATGACAAGGTATTGAAGTGTGACCATACATGATACAACCACTCCATTGTTTTGGCATGTGTTCTACTTTATGACAGCACACCCCATAAAGTTAGAGGCTGAGGTTTCTCATTTGTCGAATGTGAAACCGTTCATTGCACAGGCTAGCAGAACTCTTCTAAATGCCTAAGACCTTTTCTTATAGGGTTTGACTAAGACACCCGAAAGACATGATATCCAAAAAACTTGTGACAAATCAACCAGTATCATAAAGGTGATAACCAATCATGTGGTATTTATCAAAATTCATGAGCGGATTTTGATTTGTTAAAACTCTTTCGGTACCATATCTTTCCGGCATCTCTTATAGCCTTTTTGATTTGATATTTTAACAGTAAAAATGATCCATCATATAATTAATTAATACATGCAAGGATCTAAGGCCCCGTTTGATTTGCAGGAATAGGGGTTTGGAATCGGAATCAGAATTGGAATAGTCTATTCCGATCCAACTGTTTGATTGGGCAGAACCGGAATTTCCCATTCCTGCTGAAATAGCATTCTCCCATTCGAGGGAATGGCCATTCTCTGCCTCTCCCTTAGGAATGAAATCCCATTCCTGCTGATTTTGATTCCCATTACCATTCCTGTTTGAACCAAACAGACTATGGGAATGGACCATTCTGATTTCGATTCCAGAAGATTTCGATTCCGATTCCGACTATGAACCAAACGGACCCTAAATCACCTAGCCTCATTGTTAGCATATCGGGGACCCTGAAAATCAGTACGTATCAGTTGATACGTTATGACATTTTAAACCTTGATTGAAAGATTGAAGTCTCCAAGGGTGATTTTGGAGCACTCTACAAGTTTAACACAGCAACAATCGGCTCTATTCTTTTTATTTGATAGAAGAAATAATCAGCTCTATTCAGAGAATATTTGTTTATAAACATTGCTGTGAAACCCTAGGCACTATGAACGAGATTCTCTCTTTGATTCTAGGAAGCATAAGGCATTGTGAAGGAACACTCTAGCGCGGGGATGGAAAGAGTGGATCCAAGATCAGATCTGGTGTTTCTTCCTCAACTTAGAGGGGTACAACTGGGTCTTTGCTGAACAAACTCTGGATCTTCTGCAACAGTGGCATAGCAAAGGATTAGGAAGAAGGGATAAGATTTATTGGAGCACAGTGATCCATGCAGTAATGTGGGGTGCTTGGGAAAAAAAGAACTTCAGAACCTTTGAAAACAAAACCAGGAATACTGAAGACCTGATCTCTCACATTACTTTCTTATGCGACATTTGGGCTACTAATGCTGAAGTTTTCAAAGGTATTTCCCTAAATAACCTTCAGAGGAATTTAGCAGAAGTCCTTTACTCCTCTCCTGGGAACGTCTGTACTCAAACATTCCATTCTAGTGAGGAGGATCTGTTAAGATTTGACGATAGTTCCCAAGGATCTACAGGTCAAGCAGGAATTGGAGGAGTAATCCATGGGACAGGGGGGACATCTTTTGGGCTTTCAGTGGGCCGATTGGGAGAGCTGATACTACCAAGGCAGAGATCTTAGCTGTTCTTACAGGTCTCTGTTATGTCAGAATGTTAGGCCTCTCCACTCTTTCCATCGAAGGTGACTCTGCTAATACGATAAATTGGCTAAAACAGAAGAGCGGAGGTCCTTGGAGGTTTGCCCATCTGCTGACCAAAGCTAGAGATATTTTGGCCTCTCTGAATGTGAAGTTAGTTTAGATTCCCAGGGAACTAAACACTGTAGCTGACAGCTTAGCCAAATCAGGAGCCCATAGAGTTTCTATGTTTTCTGATACTTCTTTGCCTTTGTAGTTCTGTTTCTGGCTTCTAAGGCTCTTGTTCTCTGTAAACTTTTAACAAATCTCAGTTAACCTTTCTCAAAAAAAAAAAAAAAAAAAGGAATGCTTAGTGGGGTTATGGTTTGTTTGATCATTTTCACAGGTCAGATAGTAGAGAAATCTAGCACAAACAATTTGCCCCCACCCATACTCAGTTGGAACTTGGAAGCATGTTTTCAATAGTGTTTTTATCATTTCTTTTTTTTTTTTTCTGTAAGAGTTCTAACAAAGTAACAAGTAAAGAAAGGGGAACTCTTGTTTCTCCCATTTGATCTCAAAATATTGTAGATGATGAGAGTCAATTTTGTTTATAATTTGTAAAAGCTTGTTGTCACAAAAATTGCAAGTGCCTTTAGGTAAAAAATTTCTTTCTTTGCAGTTCACACATATATTATTATCTGAAATCTCAGGGATCTTTCTTTCCCCCTCCGTTTTCTTTCCTCCTCATATTGTGGGCATATTGAAATTCTTAGATAGTATACTTGAAATTCTAATATTATCTTTGGATAATTCTCCTTAACACTACAATTTTGTTTCTCCTTTTTAATTTAGAAAGGTTGTACTAAATTATTGAAGTTCTTTGATGCTATTCCAGTATGTGCTAATGGAGGCATAATCCACCTTCCACTGAACAGAACCAGAAGGCATTCCATAAATCCTCTGGTATATTAGAAAAAAAATGTTTTAAAGCAAATTGTGAAGGGAATATAGATAAATCATCTAGACAACTAAAAACGGATAAGAGAAAATTATTGGAAATAAAAACAACCGAGGGAAACAAAGAAATTGAGATGCTTACATGGGTACAATGCAAATTTAATCAAAATCATCATCCTCATCAATTTTTTGTCCAAATCCTCTGGGCCCGGTCTTAGCCCTGACCTGAACTCTTTTCCCACTTTTTTTCTTCTTCTTACTGGCCTCTTCTTTCTCAAACTTCTCTCTCTCCCTTTTCTGCAGGAAATCCGAGACACTTATATAGATAATCTGTGCTCCCAAAAACATTCCGAAACCAAAGATTTAGTCGACCAGAACCAAACAGAAAACAAAGCAACTAAAAAAACAATAAAATCCCAATAAAAGAAAAACAAAATCAAGACTAGAAGAATCTTTACCCCAATAGTAAGAATGGAGAGACCAATAAAAGCGATGAACAGAAGAGCGGATATGACTGTAGATACACCGCTGTCGTCAGAGGAAACGATCTGTTGGGCAGTCTCAATTGGGGCGTCTGAAGGCAAAACATCTCCGGATGTAGCCGAGGTTCTCCAAATTCGAGTGTTTTTCTGTGAAGGTTTATGTGGTGGGTGTCGATAAAGGTATGTTCTTTTTGAGTGGAGTAGGGTGGGTAAGGTGAGTGGGAGAGACGAGCCGCAGGCCCTAAGAGAAGAACCGAGATTTGGTCTGGAAAACGAGATGAGAGGTGTTGAAGATAGAACTGTAGATGCAATAGCCATGTCTCATCTGCAACTGCTAGTGCTATTTCTTCCTCTGAGACTTGAGTGTTTGTTTGTAAGCAACGGCGGGCCTGTCACTCTGTCAGCCATCCAAAAAGAGTGACAAGCCACCTTGGCAACATCTCCCGAGATATTCTCAATACAAGGTGGGGATGTATTGTGGGGCGCATATGTGAATTCAGCAAAAAAACGTCCGAGTTCACATCTAACTTCACGGAATGCGCCTCAAGAACGATTCCGGATCTCTGGTTCACGCCTAGCCACAGTACACCACCCCGTGAATTGGAAACATCTACCCCTGCATAATATTATGTATAGGATGAGATGTTTTTCATGTGTGGCAGTGATAAATATGGGCAGGATTTTCAAAAACGTCTCGCATGTATCTCCATTACTTGTCATTGAAAGATGTTTCCAATACATGGTTGAGATGTGTTGTGGGACATTCCATGGAGACCTGATCTACTCCTCACACATGGCGCCTCACACTGATCTCACAGATACATTGAAATTTGAGAACATTTCCTGTATTTATGTGTTATTATTTATGGGAGATGGTCATAATGCGCAGTGAGATGTTCCTGTGAGGTGCCCTGTGTGAGGAGTGGATCCCAATTCCACTCTACGAGGGCAGATTTGGACTCGTTCTGTCTGACTATGATATAAACAATATCATATCTAATACCTCTACTACTGCCACGTATCCATTAGCCAACTCCTCCATTATCCATTCTCATCTTCTGGTTGAACTTCTCACTCTCGTAGTCGTATTGAAATCAAGAATCTACAATGCCTTCAATTAGCACCCAACATGTTATTCATCTTCCTCACACTATCACAGCTTCTTCTTTTATAAATTTTTAATGTCTGCAATCAACAGCGGCAGTTATTCCCTCTCCCTTCTCACTCCTCATATTTTCTACATCCCAATTGGCCAATTACCGCCAGGCGCCAACAATTAATTAGTACAAAATGCAATTAGCTTGTTGTTTGATCTTAGAAGCTCAACCCCATGAAATTTGAAGATTGCAACTAAAACATGCATGAGTCATTTAAAAAGATGTAACTAGATGGTCTAAGCAGTTCCAATGTAATACTGAATAAGCATAGGGTATCGACTGATCAAGAGATAACCTAAGATGTTGTTGAAAGATTTTTCATCTGGAAATCCACTTGAGATAGAATTGACTTCAGTGCTTTAATACCCAGTTCAATGAATATTTTCCGTCATTTTTGTTGGAATCCTTCAACAGGTCTATAATGTTTTACATCTTTTTATGCTTTAAATAGATCTCCACTTGAGTGTACCTTATACAAATGTTACTTATTCAACTGATAAAGTCCTAGATTTGTTCTTGTCTGCTTTATTAAATATCATTGGTATGTCTTCCTAATGCACATAGGTAGTTAAAAGATTTATCATATGGACACAAGGTTGATGAGACTTAATGTGGGCTATTGATTGGATTGTTGATGGGAGCTTGGTGACTAACAATTGAAGCCTTTTATCCAGAAAGTGCTGAATGTATAATGGTCCTTGGGGTTCAAGAACAGTGGACATACCTAGGCTCATGAAATTTGATCCATAAGAGGAATAAAGAGAATTGGGATTTGGTATGATAAGCTTGAACCATGAACTTCACTATCATGCCCTAAGCCAGTAGAAGTAGAAATCTATGTTTGAAGGGTTTAGAATCCATCATATGGATGATCGAATCATGCTAGATGACTGGGCGAATTTTCAAAAATTTTTGTAACCCTTACGGGAACTGATTTCTTGGTGAATTTGAAAACTGAATTTTCTGGATTGATCTTGCATTGAATCGGACCAGATTTGAAACCAAACAAAGAGGGAGATGTATATTTGATATGGATTCTACAGATGTAGATCTCAAGGTGGAAGTTCATGCCCAAATCAGTCCTAAAACCCAGCCTCCACTGAAAATGTCATATTGTGTAGGTAAAGCCTATTCAATGCACTATTTTTAGCAAAATTGCGATCCAACTTGCTTGAATCGAATGAGGTAACTGAGCCTGATTTTCTTCTTTGGTAGCTGAGACAAGCTACCCCAAATTCTTTGACAGCACATCAGTGTCAGACTTGGTAGGATAAACTCCTCAAGTCTATCAAATGGTTGAGAACATTCTAAACTAACACGAGTCTCATAAGTGTCCAGTTTAAGGGGTAAATACAAAGAGACATACCAATATTAACATGAAACAATAATGTACTTTTATTCATTTACAATAAATATATATGTACATCAATCTTATTGGAGATAAGGGCATACACTACCTAACAACTCCCACTTGGTCCAATTTGATACAAGTCTCATATTGCTCACATGTTTCTCAAACACTTTCTATGCCAGTGGCTTAGTCAATGGGTTTGCCACGTTCTCCGTTGATGCTACCTCTTGAATTACCAACAATCTCTCATAGTATTTGATATTTCATCTCGATGTGTTTAGACTTCGAGTGGCTCTTTGCTCCTTAGCCTGAGCAGTGGCTCCAATGTTCTCACACAACAATGGAATGGGTGATGTGCTTGATGGAACGACTTTTAATTTATGGATAAATTTCTTCATCCAAATTGTTTTCTTGGTAGCCTCACTTGTGGCAATGTATTTGGCTTCAGTCGTAAAATTTGTTGTGAACCCTTGTTTGCTATTTTCCAGCTAACTGCACATGACTCTATCGTAAAGATGTAACTATATGTAGACTTTCTATCGTCTGGGTTAGATTGAAAGTTGGCATCAATATACCTAACCATCTATAGTGAACTACCATCGAAGATAAAGCAATAGTCTTTGGTCCTCCATAGGTACTTTAGTATGTTTTTCACAATAGTCCAATGCTCTTGTCTTGGATTAAATTGGTATTTATTTACAACACTAACAACATGAGCAATGTTTGGTTGAATGCACAACATAGCATACATGATGCTCCGTACGACTGAGGCATAGGGAACCTCTCTCATGTCCTTTATCTCCTCAAGGGTCTTACGTAACATTCCTTTGGAGAGAGTGAACCCATGCCTAAAAGGAACAAACCTTTCTTGGAGTTCTGCATGTTAAGTCTTTTGACGATATTGTCAATGTAAGTAGATTGGGATAACCAATTATTTTCTTCGATCTATTTATATAGAGTTGAAGTCCCAAGATATATGAGGCTTCCCCAAGATTTTTCACGGAGAATTGCTATGAAAATCATATCTTCACCGTAGTCAACATTCCTACATCATTCCCAATGAGTAGAAAGTCGTCTACATACAGAACTATAAACATAACCTTATCTCTCACCGTTTTTTTGTAAACACAGGGTTCATCCAGATTTTGTTCAAAATCAAACTGTTTAACTATTGAGTTAAATAGGATATTCCATCTTCTAGAAGCTTGTTTCAAACTATATATGGATCTATTTAGATTACACACCATGTATATCCTGACCCTTAGCAACAAAGCCTTGGGGCTGTTGCAAATAGATAACTTTAGTAAGATCTCCATTCAGGAATGTAGGTTTTACATTCATATGCCAAATATCATAATCGTAGTGTGCAACTATAATTAATAGTATCCTTATGGATTTGAGAATGACCACTAGTGAAAAGGTCTCCTCATAATCAACTCCTTCTTTCTACGTGTACCATTTCACTACAATCTTAGCTTTATAGGTCTCAACTTTTCTATTAGAGCCCTTTTTCCTCTTGTAGATCCATTTGCAACCGATTGCTTTTACCCCAAGGGACGGGTTTATGAGAGTCCAGACTCCGTTGGTTTTCATCGACTCCATCTCAACTTTCATGGCATCTATCAACTTCAAGGAGTCTATGTCCAATATAATTTCCATATAAGTCACAGGATCTTACTCACTATATACAGTTTCCATCAAGTAACTTTCTTGATCATAGCCATAATGCACTAGAGATCTAGAAACCTGGGTACATCTTCTAAGTTGGATATTATTATCTGGAATCTGTGGATTATCTTGCACTACTCTTGAGCTCTCTTCGTCAAGAACAACTTCCTGATTATGATTGTTTAGGATGTAGTCCTCCTCCAAGAAGTAGGCATTTCGACTAACAAACAATTTTTATGGATTCTTTGGGGAAGCTTACAAATAGGCAATAGCTAGTTTTGGAATCCAATTTGTCCGCATTTGTCTTTTTGATGTGTGTTAGACAACCCCATATTTTTAAGTATCTCACCCTTTATTTCTTGCCAGTTTATAGCTTGAAAGGAGGAACTGACTTGGTTGGAACCCGGTTCAATACGTAAATTCTAGTCTCCAATGCATACTCCCAAAAGGATATGGGTAACTTTAAATGGACAATGAGTGATCAGACCATATCTAATAGAGTCCGATTTTTTCTTTTAGACACACCATTTAATTATGGTGTAGCAAGAGGAGATAACTGTGATATAATCCCATTATCCTTTAAGTAGTCCCTAAATTCGTTGAAGAGATATTCACCTCCTTGATTTGATCGAAGGGTTTTGATCTGTCTACCCAATAGTTTCTTGACTTTTTGACTAAAGTCCTTGAACTTTTCAAAAGATTTAGACTTATGTTTCATTAGGTACACGTATCCATACAAAAAATAATAATCGATGAAAGTTATAAAATAATAGTATCGATTTCGTGTTCTAACATTCATGGGACCACATACATCGGTATGTATAAGGTCAAGTGTACCCGTACATTAGTATGTATAAGGTCACTGTGGTAGATCTTCTATAGTGAGAAAATCTAGAGGACCATCCTTCACCAATCTTGTGATACGTTATATATTAATATGGCCAAGTCAGTAATGCTATAGGCACGTGGGATTAGTTGTATCATGTGTACTTTTCTTGGGGATGTGTTCCGATATGATTTTGGTTACATTTGTTTTTAGAGAAGGATTGAGAACATAAAGACCGTTCTCAAGTTCTCCATGGGTAAGGAATTTGTTATTTAATGTAATTGTAATCTTATTACTGAATAAAACAGAATAACCATCATTACATAACTTAGAAATCGAAATCAAATTTATTCTAAGTAAAGTACATAAAGACAATCTTTTAATGTTACAAATCCTTTTCT